TATAAACCTCCATGAACGAAGCCATGACTCAAAGAGCAATTACGACAACAGAGGGGTCATGTCTCGGTTGATCGCTTGCTCCATTCCTTGGCGTGACGTCATGGCAGATTGTAAGAATTTCCATGTTGATCTTGGCTTTTGAATACAACCAAAATGAGAATTTAACTCTCTCAGCGAAATTTAGCACGTTCTGGAGGGAATAAAAAACTTTCAACACTTAAAAATGACTTAATAATTAGACTAAATAGTCAAAAGATCAATGAAAGAAGAAAAACTTTAACATTCTTCTTCACAGGGGAAACAAATTCTGTTTACACAGAACAATTAGTTTGAGCCCGCAGTACTGGCCATCTCGTGACCGATCTGCAAGATGGCGGCTAGGAGCGTTCTTTGCTTGGTCCTTCTTTTCGTTTCAACAGGTAAAATGCGGGAAAGTAAATTGCTAGATTTTGCGCTGTTAGTTGAAGTAAATAGCTTAATAGTTTTTCTACCATATTCAAAGCTTTTTATTGCCATCATTCTTCGTCTTTATCGCAAAGTGGATCGTAAATTTTCGTCTTGTCATTTGTGTCATCAAATGGCTTCGTATTTCCTCATATTTCTGTGAAAACAACAGCAACATTTGATGAGCAAGCGTGTTATTTATCACGTAGTTTGCTATGATTTTTGAAACAGGAAGTTAAATTACACTAGTAGGATTTTTTTCTCGTATGAACCCGCTTCTCACGTAGTAACGTTAAAACTAAACTATCGGAACTATCCCACATGCTTGTTCCTATTTTACATCCATAGCCTCAAGTTTATTAACTAATGGAAAGGAAAGCTTGCTTATACAGGAGGCTGAAAAGGTGAGTGAAACTTTTAGCTTCTTGGTTTCCAATAACTTGACGTCGCAAGAACATACCTTAGACAACTAAGTTAACGTATGCGTACTATAACACACCGTCATAATTGTCTTCGTCCGTTTCTGAGTACCACGACCAGCATCGAAGAGCGTAAACTTGTAAATATGCTGTAATTTTGTTTATTTTGACACCACTCTGTCGGTCTGCGGGGCCCAGGTTTATTCAGTTTTCTTTATCATGTGATCGATCTCATCCCGTACGTCGCGATGCTTTCCAGCTGTTTTTTCGTCTTTTGTGGTTTTATTTCGTTGAACTTTCGTTCTATTCTAGGGGCAGTTGTTGAAGAACTCCCCCTCGTCTTGATAAACTTGTTGCCTTTTTGGCTTCCTTAAATCATAACGTAGGACGAATGAAAGAATGAAGTATTGTGGTTGAGAGGACAACAGAAGTGTTTCCTAACACTGATTTTTATACATTGACGTGTACCATACATGTACATGTGTTGTGTCTGTTCACAAATAGCATTAAGAAAGAATCAAAGATTTGAAAGGCATCAGAGGTCTGTGTCAAAGACTGTGTTTGTTTCATGACATAAAAATGCAAAGTGCAGTTTTTTCGAGTTCAGCAAAATTGTGGAGTATACCCTGATGGTGGCAAGCAATAATCCTGGATTTAGTTTTTATCTGCCAAGTTTTAAGTTGTTTTATTAATAGTCGTTACACAGCTCAAGGGTCATGATTTTCTTTCCACCACATTGCTCTTTTTCTGTGTCACAGTCTCAGTGTTATAAACTCAGCACTGTGAGGGGGGACACCTCGCTAAAGGAGGTGTCCTTATTTGGCCCATCCAGTTAAGTATCAACTACTTTGTGGCTGCAACTGAACTCAGTACAGTGGAACCTCGATATAACAAACCTCTATGTAACAAAGTCCTCGGTATAACAAACGATTTTCTTTACTTCAGCAATAGTCAAATATATGAAAAAGAACCTCGCCATAAGGAAACCTCATTACAGCGAACAGATTTTGCCAGTCCCTTGGCCTTTCGTTATAGCGAGGTTCCACTATAGAGCTAGTCAAGTCCCTTCTTAGTCGGACAACTTAAGTTCCAAGCATCAAGTTTCAAAAGCATTTACAAAGAAAACTTTGATAGTACACAGTACAAGTACCATGTTTATTCCTATTATTGACGTCCTTGTGCGATTAATCTTTACAAATGTACTTTTCAACTGAATGCCTTTTCAGTAGACCTTTTCACATTTTTTTTTTTCAACTTTTGACATGGACAAGTTAGGGAAAATCCGTTGACTCTACTGGAAAGACGGCCTTAATATTAGTAAAATTGCCAAATTTTAAAGTGATACGTCTCAAGCAAGAAAAAGGTGTAGCTCTGCAAAGTTGCGAAAATTTACAAACATTTGTATGGTGGGGTGCAAGTTTGTGCCCCACCATACAAACATCTGTAGAATTTCGTGACTTTGAGGAGCTTTATCTTTGTTAGGTTTCAACAAATTATTTTCAAACTAGGCAATTCTACTAATCTTAAGGCGCTCTTTTCATTGGTGTCAACGGATTTTGCTTAACTTGTCCATGTCAAAAGTTGGAAAAACCATGAAAAGTTGTATTTTAGTCAGTGATATTTCATACAGACAAAACAATCTAATGTTCATGTGCAAGTAACAGAACAACTTACACGTACAGTGTAGATGAGCTTAGTTGATAACTCTTTTGGTTCTCTTCAATTTTATGTCCCAAATTAGTATTAAGATACTTCTTACTTTCTCTACCCAAGTTATTTGAAACCATTGTTCCATGACTTGAGGTATCAAACTGCCAATCTCAACATTGTTTCTTAAAGCATGTTAGCATGTTACATTCAGAGCTTTTTATATGTCAGTTTCATAACATAACTATGTACAAAGTTTTGGTCACTGTGATACATGTACTATTCAATGCTTCCAATTAAACATGATTGAAATATTTTAAGTGTTATGTTGAAAAGAGTTGAAATAAAAAGCAAAAAACGGTACAATGTGAAAGTTCTGAAAGAGGGTTCTTTTACATTTAAATAGTCCTACCACAGATTTCTTCAGTGTTTAGGAGAAGACACTTCACTTCATAATAGACCTTTCCTGCATTCTTGTAAACAAAGGTATCAAGTCGAGGGTCAGATGGACAAAATGCAGTGATTTGTATGAAATAGTCCACCAGAGCCTGGCCTTCATTTTTTCATGTTTGCTCACTAGAGCGGAATGCGGGAAAGATCCATTGACTTCTGGAATGAGAAAGTTAAAGAATTAAAGACATTAGTCAGTGGATTGCTTCGAGCACCTAGTTTGATGCAGTCTTGATGCTGAAATGTTTTGGCCAGTTTCAGCTGATTTACCATCATATAACAATGATGGATGGTGTTGGAATGATATGCGTGATCTGTTTTAATATTGGTCTTTAGGGTTTACGTATTGGTCATTGGATCTCTTTGGACACCTTGTTTCATTATGTTGGATGTTTTTGGGTGATGTTGGATCAGGTTTGAATTTGCTGAAACATTATGCCCGGTGTCAAAAGATTAAACATCATTTGGCAATGATGATGGTGTTCAAACAACAAGCATGATCAGTGGTCTCTAGGGTTTGCAAATACAGATGTAGACACAATGCTGGTGCTATCATGACAGTGGTCTTTACGCCTGTGAAAAAGTGCCATTAGAGCGCAATTTTTTACCACAATTTCACCTTAAATTTCACTAAATGACAAATAAATATCCAAGTCTCACTGTTTAATGTTTCATTTATCCTGTCTGCTACCATAGAATATCTCGACACTTTTTGGGACTGCCATCTTGTCTAGGGAGAAAAACAAGAGTTTTCCTTTTTCTTACCACAGAAACAAGAAATGAACTTTTTATCAAAACTAAGAGGGACACCCGATCTATGAGCCTACAAATGGCAAAGATTTCTTCCTTTTCTTTAAATGTGTAGTTAGTTTGTTCCACCTGTTTGCTATGTTTTTTTACTTGATAAAGAGCCTTAAATAGAAGGATGTTGCAGTCTGAAAATTAAAGCCTTTTTTAACGTACCTTTGCCATCATCATCATCTTCATGCATCAATCCCTAAACTGCGAGAAGTCTCTCTTTTTCATCAAATTTAGTGAGTAGAGTGACCCCGCGTGTGACCGCCTTCAGTCACGCGCGTGCTCATTTACGTGCCTCGCGCGTTTTGCTCGACGGACCAAGAAAAAAGGGGGACTGCTCGTAGTCTAATCAATCCTTTAAATACCCAGTGTCACAGAGAGTGTGATCTTCGCTTTGAGATCAGTCTAACTTACATGTAACCTGGAAAAACGGATCAGAAGAGACATGTTAGAGTAACATAATACGTCCATATACCATGTACCTCATTTAATCTCAAATTTAAAGTAGCTAAAGATAAGCTAGTATGTTCAAGTTAGATTTATAGTTCCAAATACTTCTAAAATTGTGAAATTATAGCATTCTATAATTTTAAACTACTGAAAAGAGTTATACTGTAGAATCTTGCGCTTGAAATGAGGAAAGTCAGAAGTTCCGAAACAGTCTGGGAAAGAGTTCCATAGTTTTGAAGCCATGTACGACAAGGAATGAAGACCATAAGTATTGGTTTTCGGAGACGGTAGAGACAAAACATAATTACCATTTACATTTAGTAATGATGATTTTTGTCTGGCCCCAGTTGTTCAAACGTTGGATAGCGCTATCCACCGGATAAATCACTATCCAGCCGATAGCGTAATTGGTTTCTCTAATACTTATCCGCTGGATAGTGATTTATCCGGTGGAAAGTGCTATCCAACGTTTGAACAACTTGGGCCTGGTGTATAACTTTGTACTTAATTGGTTTTCCCTACACAACTAAGGCGGGCGATCTTTTTTTTTTCAGTTACCGAGGTTGTCCCTCAAAAAAGACAGTTCTTTTGCACATAAAAATACTTTATTAAAAAAGCTTGGCCAATATTCGGCCATCTTGGCATCGCGCTTAGTCCAAAAACGCATATATCTTACACTAGGATTTAGTAGCACTAAATATTCGTGATACTGTTCCTTAGGGGCTTGATTTTAAATACTGTTAAAAATTGTTACAGTTAAGAATTATTATTCCTATATTGTCCTTTTTTTAGCCAAGCCCTGATAATTCCAAGTTGATCATTGCTCACAGCCCGAGCTATGTTACATTTTTGCCAAATGCTGGTACCATTGCCGCTGATGAAATCTCCAATGTTATTGCCCTCGCCCTCGGCTTTTCCTCGACAAAGGTATGTAAGCGCATGCGCTAAGATCCTAGGATGACGAGGGCGGCAAAAACGTCGCCCAAAAGGTGAATATTGTGCGTTCACTTAATCTTCATCGCGATTTTTCGAACTCATTTATTTTTTCAAATGTAGGTGACCTCTCCTTAAAGTAAATTTCTAAAAGCCATATCGAAGTTTAGAAAAAGAAAGAAAATTTTGTCGCCGCTTGTTTAGGTCCTTCATGAAACGTGAAATAAGGTTGTAGTCGTGCAGTGACCACAACGAAATGTACAACAAAGTGTGATGCACGTGCAATAGTGTTGTTTTGCTTATCAAACCTGTTTGTTTGTTTTCTTTTTGTTTTGTTCTCGTTGTTATTGTTGTTTTTTGACGTTCTTGTTGCTGTAGCGGTCGTCAGATCTTAAGGACCCTATTACCGACTCCACCGCACCAGGCCTTCTCCTCAGTAGGCTCCTCATGTTTTCTAGGCTCGATTTCCGCCGTCCCCTGAGTCCCGTCTTTGATCTTGCCCGTGACGGCTCTGATTCCTGAACAGCGGCTGGTTATCAAGCCTAGTCTTGGACAGAATAAAATGGAACAGCAAACCCCCATCCCCACCCCGCCCCCGCCAGTCAAGGATGAAACCGCGCGAAGGGCATAAGCGCGCCATTTTGTTATCTTTGATTTGGAGAGGACGGGAGGTCTGGGTTTTCCATTTATTTTGGCCACCATTGTAGGTGTTTCCACCGTCTGTTTGCTGTATTCTCTCGGTTTAGAATTAAGTGCATGGTAAACAGCAAACGTCAGATTCAAATTGGTAACTTCTCAAATGAGGAAATGACCAGATAAAAACTGTTCAAAATAATTCTTATGGCTGAATATGGCATGAAACTACTCATATCATTTTAAACATCACTTAAGGATTCCCAAAGAGGAAACTTGGTTTCACGATGCAAATTGACCTGGGCCGTTTTCTGTTAACGTGATTGTAAATATATTTTCTTACCGGGGTAGTGTAAACTTCCGCTTATAAGCCCTGGGCTTATACATCTTCGTAAGGGGTTTTAGGAGGTTTTATTAACGGAGGGGCTTATATCCGGGGGGGCTTATAATCGGAAATATGCTGTAAACTGCCGCTTATAAGTCCTGGCGTTATACATCTTCGTAAGGGGTTTTAGGAGGGCTTATAAACGGAGGGACGTATATCCGAGGGAGGCTTATAACCGGAAATATGCTGTAAACTTCCGCTTATAAGCCCTGGGCTTATACATCTTCGTAAGGGGTTTTAGGAGGGGTTATAAACGAAGGGGATTACAACCGGAATAGAAAAAGCGCTTGGAAACAAGCTATAGCAGCGCTGAACAAAATACGTTTTGTATTTGTTGTTTGTTAATTAAGCTTCAAAACATCATAATAAATCGAATTCATTTCTGTGCATTTGGAGCGGGGCATATATCGAAGGGGGTGGGGGATGGGCTTACAATCGGAAGTATTTTTTGTTTACAGTTAGATGAGCCCATAACTGGGGGGGTGCCTATAAGTGGGGAATTGTATAAGCTGCAGTTTTACGGTAATCAAGTTGGGGTGGTCGCATTTAACTGTGAATGTAACGCGCTTTCTGTGCTGGTGCGTTCACAAGTTTGATAGCAAATGCAGGTTTGCCAACGCGGATATCTTTTTCTTTTCTTAAAGGAACTAAACTGGGCTGGCTTGTTAGCCGGAGATCTTTTCCGCCGTCCAAAGGCGAATGTTCTGATCACTGTGGATGGGATTACCAAAGGTAACGAGAAAAATTCCTCCATCGTAGATTTCTTTCTTGTATTTCTTTCTTTAGTTAGATTTCTCTATTGGATAACCAATGACTAAAAGCATGAGGCAGATGACTTCTCGAATTGCGGGTATTTCGTAGACTTATGACAATTATCGACAGCAAGTTATTAAGGATATATAGGGCCGTTTAAACAGGCGATTGTATCTCGCGATTTGTTCCGCAACAAGCTAGGCGATTTTCACCGCGATCGTAGTGCAATCTGTCGCTGATTCTATGGAAAGTGATATTTTTTTAGTAGCGAAATTATGACAGACGGACTTTACTGTTTTCGTGCAAAAGTTGCCCAGAGGTTGCCTCATCGACTTTTCAGTAACTTGGCTGCAATTAATCGCGTGCAAATCGCCCACTCTTTATTAACGCGATCTGGGGGTGCAGCCAAATGGTCATTTTTTGTGTGTGTCAAATCCTGTGGAAGAATCGCCGCCTTAAACTGACCTTGCAACATTATTTCTCGTTCCACCTGCAGTTGAACTGCAATTTTTTTTAATATAAACTGGAACATTGCCAAACCCTTCGTTTTTTAGTTTCTAATTGGAAAGCCAAAAACAAAACTAATACTTGTTCTTTTTTTTTCTTCTGATATGAGGCAAGTAACCCGTGGAATTGCTAGTTTTAACTTACGTTATATGAGCAATTCTCGACGATTTAAGCGCGCTCATGAAACGTTGCGGGGCAGGATGAGTTTCAGCTGAGAGCCGAAAAAGTGACAAGTTTTAACTCTATTGTTTGTTTGTTTCTTTTTGTGTTTTAGATGACGAATTTGATCTACCTGGAAGAGTATCTGCCTACCCCGTCCAGGAGGTGAGCAGTGAAATAAATGAACAGTTCAGTTTTTTGTTATTACTTTAAACTCTTATCTGCTTCAAATCTAACTTTTTCCTTACTCTGTAGTCCGAAGATGCCTCGAGTTTGGCTGCAATTTTATCAACATCGAGTGTCACGCAAGAAAACCTACCAACACGCGTGACAGGTGCTTTTGGTGGCAAATCGCTGACTGTTTCTGTCTCTGGCAATGAACTGGTAAGATTAGAAATTTGTTTACCTGCATCTCCACGTGCACCTTGAAGGGTGTAACTTTGAGTAGACTCGATTTTCCACCCCCGACCAAGTAGAGTTTTAACTATACTATTAGGGTAAAGCTTAAAACGAAATAACACTCACTACATTGGTGGATTCAGATCTTTAGGGAGCTTTAGCAACGACGACGGCGACGGCAAGGAGAACGTCAGAAAAGCAATAGGTTTATTGAGCAAAAACACAACTTTGCACGTACCTCATGCTTTTTTGTACATTTTTTCGCCGTCGCTGCACGACTACGACGTGAAAATGCCTAATTTTACCTTTTTATGGAGGACGTAAACACGAGACTGCAAATTTTTCTTTCTCTTTCTAAACTTGAGTAAGGTCCCCAAGAAACCAACTCGGGGACATTCGCCTACATTTGACATTTTCAGCAATTTGAAGTGAACGCGAAAAAATTTGAAAAAACGCGAATTCATTTTAATAGTGACGTTTTCGCTGCATGCCGTCGCCGTCGTCGATGCTAAAACTCCTTTTTAAGTAAATAGGGGTGGCGCCGTCGACGTGTCAACCATGTGCTCGAACTAAGTTCCATTTCCCGTTTAATCTGTTAACTAGAACTCGGATAACTCGAATTCTGGTTCTTTTAACTCCACTCGCAGATGCTGTTCATTAGCTCTTCTTGATGTAATCGGTAAAAACACTTACTAACACTACAGCAATTTGATTTTAATTGGTTCGACGAACAGATCACTTTTTATCATAAAAATGCATAATCATGTTACCGTTTCAGGGTGAAATACACTGAGGGGCTGAAAGATCATTAACTATCATTTGTCAACATGGCAAATTGAATACCGTAAAATTCCGAAAATAAGCCCAGGGGCTTATATTTTTCAAAGGCCCTTTTGAGGGGCTTATATTCGGAGGGGCTTATCTACGGAGGGAAATTTGCGTTTCAAAATCAATTGGGCCAGCCTTATAGTTGGGAGTAAATTTATCGTTTTTGCTTTGTTTTACTTTGTATTTGATGGCAGTATTCCAAGTACAAGCTCACGGGGGGCTTATATTTGGAGGGGCGATTTAACGGAGGGTTTTTTGCGTTACCGGTTTGGGGGGCTTATATTTGGAGGGGTCTATACATGGAGGGGCTTATTTTCGGAATTTTACGGTATTCAGTGAATCGATCTCGATAACTCGAACTGTTTTTCGTTTTCCTTCAGAGTTCGACTTTGAGGGGTTCTACTATATTATATTAATGACATAGTGGTGGTTTATGCATTTCCAACCTTTTAATACTTGCGACTCGGTGGATTTCGACATTGGTATTGTTACATGTAGTTTTAGAAGCTGTTCCCTGTAAACCAGGCAGAAGTCAAGTACTGTATTGAAATTATTGTGTTCTTTCAGTTGGCAGCCGCCGGTCACGCCACTGGTGCCAACAGCCACACCTTATTTTGGAATCAGGCAGAGGACAAATTTAAGCAAGTAGAGGGCGATTTAAAGGGACTGTCAGACTTAACTACTGCTAAAGATGAGGTGACAGATATAAAGGCTGTTTTAGGTGTTCAAATTGTGTGACGTAAAATGAAATTTAAAAATGATCTGAAAAAAGTGAAACGTGTCGATCACCTTCATAATATTAATCGTCTTATTCGCCTAAATTATTTTATTATATTACTTTATTTAATACACAACATAACAAAAAGGAAAACAATAGGACACAAAGTCCCCTGCAAAGTGAAACCACACAAAACTACCCCCCATTAATAGCATAAGAAAGGGGAAAATACCATCTCGCCAGAACCTTACCCACATTTGAAAAAAATTAAGTACAAGAATGAAGTATGAGAAGAAAATGATCCACATATCCGACACACCAAATTTAACAAGGGCATAACGCTAAAGAAGTAGCCTTAAGACAGTTTGGGGCAAACAATCTTAGGTGATCTTATGTTGATCTTATGCGTTGTCTTAAAAGGGATACTGCCTATTTATCTCTACGCTCCAGATCAATGTACAGTTTAGCCTTTTGTGGGGTAGAGAGAATTTCGATATCACTCTGTCGTTTGGCTGGTAGCTTTGGTTGACTTCGTCTATGCAATTGAAGGATTCACTTCAGGGTGACTACTTCACTTCTATCTGTTGTGGGCTGCATGAGTTGTTTGAATATGTATTTTGAAAAACTTATTTCAGTTTCCGTGTTGTTGTTTAGTTTGTCTGGTTGTTTGTTTAACGAAAGTAATTTTCATCATTTTTCAGATTTTAAAGAGGTTGGAGAAAGCTTATTTTGGAAAAGGTACTTGTTTCTGTGAAACTTTGCTGGGCTCTTTGCCCCTTGGCGACCCTTCCGTAGATAGATGCGAGACAAGTTGCACGAGGCGACACCCCACGGAATAAGCATGTCTCGGAACACTTGATTTTAGTATATACTAAAACAGTGGATAGTGTTTTTCGCGCGCTCTGATTGGCTACTCAATCAGTGAATATCCTGCACTATTCACTGATTCACCTCCAGTTCCTCCGAGCGAGCGACGCCAAACTCGCGTAGGTTACGAGCAAAATGCTTTCCAGGTTTGCTGCCGCAACAAACTAAGAAATTTCAGAACTAATCAAGCAAGCTATTTCCGAAATACATGAGGAAGGTGACGAAGTTCGGTTTGGAAGTTTTAACAGGTAAAGCTTTGTCTTTTTTACTTGAATAGTTATCGATAAAACCGGTGAAAAAATTTTTTGTGTACAAATGCAAATTAAGCTTAAGTCTTGCGTTACTTTATTTAGTAGACTTGTTAATAAATAAGCTTAAAACTAAATTTAATAATCTTTTTTACAGAATTATTTTAAATACAAACAGAATTCACAACTCCTTTTGAAGAAACTTCCCTGCAAGAGCTAAACAAACGCCTTTAAAAGTTTTATTTGTCGCTAAGAAAAAGCGACGAACGCGGCCGTTCGGTCATCGCGCGCCAAAATTGTAATCGTTGGCAACAGTAAATGAGTTAAAAATCATCATTTTGTGCTCAATTATCTCACTGTTTTAGTGTATACTAAAACAATTATTCACCTCAGTGTCGGTGGCTAGTAGTGGTGATTTTCCTCGCCGCTTCGCGGCCGCGGTAAATATCCAATACTAGCCACCTCCACTTCGGTGAATACTTGTTATCTGTCTTGTGCAGCGCCGTGTGCCGTAACGAAAACATGGCGAGACATGGTTATTTCAGGGAATGAAGCAGTAGGCAGTTTCTCTAGGCAACTTTGTTGCGAGATAAGTGGGAAAAAAGTTGCCTAGTGTAGTGTAATGCCTAAACCCTTTCTATCTCACAAGCAACTCCGAAGATATATAATGTAGACGAGGATCTAGTTTGTCTGAGAACGAAATCCTATGGTGTTACCATTCAAATGAAACCTCTTTGGTAGTGCTTTCACATAGTGCTATTCATTCAGTATGAAGTTCTAACTTTTCAATCCGTGTTGAAAATCCCATAATGTTACCATTCAAATGATACCTTTTGTGCAGTTCTCTCGCAAGGTACGGTTTCTTAAACAATATTTTTCAACATAAAATTTCAATATTCGGCAATCTTGGAAGTTCAAGGGTCAAATCTGCAATTCGTTTGGAGACGCTGCGTTACAGTCTTTTCAACAGAATTCAAGAATTCACATCATGGACTCTATCATTTTTTTTTTCGATCAGGCGTCAAGTTTTCTTCAGACACCAAAGAATTCACTGTCTCGATTCCTGGCAAAGGAAACGCTGTATTTAACGTGGAGAAGAAGGTGAAAAGATAAAAGAGACACGATTTTAATGTAGTGAAGACTTAAGTGAATGCTCTGGACTAACGATCCAATTCCCAGTGCGATCCCATCTGCCTGAGAGAAAGATACGAATACTACATACGTGATGTAGATTTCGAGTACAAGCAGTCTTTGAACGATAGGTTCACACTGCAGCACGGTGTAGTTATAATAAAATTTCGACCCTGCTCTCCATAGAGCCTCCAGGCAATTAAAGCAATTGCAAATTAGCCCAAAAGAATTGGAAAAATTGGTTAGAGCACTGCAGCGCTAACGCAGAGGCCATGGGTTCGAATCCCGTTGAAGTCCTGATATTTTCTTCGCGTTAATTTGCAATTGCTTAAATGAATTGTAATTACCACTGCGACGATCATATCTTCATTGAAATTTGTATTTCCGCAGTTCACATCATCATTCAAAGAACCTTTAGTACTAAAAGATCCACAATATCCACGAACACATTCTCACAACTGATCTCCATACGTTTCCTTAAGGAATTAGTGAAGAGAATTTGATAGAAGATCAAAGCATTTTCCCTTTGGTGATCATTTAATCAATTCTCATAACCTCTTCTCTTGATGGTGTATTGAAAATGCTGGGAGAAAATTGATGTTTGTCAGTCTTGGGACTAAGAGGGTTAATTAAGAGAGGGGTCGCATAAATGTACAAAGTTTAACCCTAAGCAGGCACGCAAATTCCATAAAAAAATTCTATCCTATGCTTATCTTAGAGGATACGCTTAGAATGTTTCTTTTTATCTTTTATTGTCATTTGTTTTGTTAGGTTTTTGTTTTTGTTTTGCTTTGTTTGTTTTTTTTTATATATATATTCTCACTTAAAATTTTCTGCCTTTGTAGGAAGACTTCTTGCTCTTCGCTGAAATCGATGCTATCTTCCAGATAATAGAGAAGGTATTTAATAAGTGATTAAACATTTGTTTCGTTTTTTGTTATGGTACTCCGCATTATGACTGAGTCTTATTCTTTTTCTTATTCATTTTCTTATTATTTTATTTTATTTGTATTTTTATTATTTTTTGCCTTTTCAGCTGAAATCTAACCCCAGCCTGGTACAAGATGGAATACCAGACATATATACCCTGAGTCTCTCTTCTGTGAAGGTAGGTTTTCATCACAATAAAGAGTACTAAGAATCCATTACCTAGTTATTGTTGATTAGCTGTTTGTGCGGCAACACTGCGCTGGTCACTGTATTGTGATTTTGAGTATCTGTTACAAGCAAAAATGTTAGAAAATGTTTTGTTTGTTCTCTCTGTCTCTTTTTTTTTACATAAATTCTGTCATTTCGGGGCTTCCACCATATTTCAGTTGGTCGTTCCTTTGCTGGCTTTCTTAGCTAATGCACGTTTTTTTCTGTTTATCTGTAGATCCTTCGCCGCCGTTATGGTGACAAATCCTCTCAAGCTGAGGGAGCTGTTCATTTTCTCCAGGGCGTCATTCCAACGGTAAACGTTGTTTTACCCTTTCACCCCCAAAAGTGGACGAAGTCAAAATTGAACAATTCTTCTAAATTTCATTTTGTGAAATGCTGAAAAACAAAGAGTACCAAGTCAAAGTACTGCTGAAGAGGTTTCATTTGAATGGTAACACCATAGGATTTCATCCACAGACTCACAAGTTAGAACTACATACTAAATAAATAGTACCATGTGAAAGTACTGCTGAAGAGGTTTCAGTTGAATGGTAACAGCATAGGATTTCATTCAAACTTGCAAAAGTTAAAACTACATACTAAATTTATGAAAAGTTCTGACTTAAGCTGAGAGAGTTAATACGTAACGGTGCTGATAGGAAGCAACAGGTTTATATTATTTTATATTTTTGCCTCTGTAGATTGTAAAGGAATTCACTGATTTGTACAACGGAAATGTTCTGGTAGAAGTTCTGTCTTTGGAATGGAAAGGGTGAGTACTGCTCCAAACGACGTGTTCACACTCGCTTCATGTTTCGCGTATTCACACTTGACTTCACGTGTGTCCAATTTCATGAAAGAGGGCTTATACAAAGGCGTTTTTGAGCGGTGCACGCCGTCAACCGGAAGTGACGCCTCTTTCCCTTGTAATATGTCTTAACGCTACCAAATTTGTGTTGCGGCTAACGCTCCGGTACGACGCTCGATGTGTGTCTACGACTTGTAAACGTTTTGCGCCGTTTCTGCTCATACCAGGCCTTACGGTGTGCTCTGAATTCCGTGTGACGTTGGCACACGACATTTGAACCGGACCTCATACTTTAGTGGGAGTCTTAGTACTGTGTCGGGGGCAAAAGAGTATTTAAATGACGTTATGGACGTGTTGTGGGACCAGGGTTATGCTGTGATCTTAATACTAACATGCTCTCCTTTTTCTGGCCAGTGATCTTCATACTAAGTACCCCCAGGAGATGCATGTGGTTTATAATGAAATGCAGCCTTACTTGTCATCGCAGTCAGCCGATATGTTCCGTGATCAGCTTCCAGCTATCACTCTCAGACATGACTTGGTAAGTACACGGTGAATGAACAGGGGACCCACAAAAAGTAGGTAGAACTGTTAAAGGGTTATGTCACGCTATTTGTTATTGTTTTAAAAAGCTGAAACTTGTCTTCGCATCAATTGGAGTGCCCAAATTAAAGGCCGGGTTTTGTTTTAGAAAAAGAAAATAGTAGCCCTTCTTCATCTTTATTTTACTTATTTCTTAATAGAAATTTTTGTTTTGTAAAAATACTCGGAAATGAATAGTACTATTAAGATGTACCAATAGGTTTTATTTGAGTGGTAACGTGAACGAATTTTGTCCACAGACTGGAGTGATCTGATGAGACATCTAACATCTTTCTTTTTTCTTACAGGAGGACACTATGAAGGAATCCTTATGTGAGGCGCTGCAGAATAAACTTCTCTCCGTTCAGTCTCCGTTACGGGTAGGTGCTGAATTGTTTTTTAAATCTTGTTGACAATGATCGCCATGCAGAAGAATTTTCCTGGCTTTTGACGCTGTTGTGGAAAAGTGTACGTGTTTACACTGAGATGAAAGCCTCTTTTATGCTGTACAAGGTGGTTCTTCTAACTTTGTCTGTGGATGCGATGCTCAAGTGTGACCATTCAAATGAAAGCTACCGAGTAGTACTTTTCTGTGTTACTATTTCTTGTGCTGTACAAGGTGGTTCAAACGTTTGAGTCTAGAGGAAATCCTATGGTGTGACCATTCAAATGAAATTTACTGAGCAGTACTTTCCTGTGGTACCGGTAAATTTTGTTATGTTGTACAAGGTGGTTATAATTTGTGAGTCTGTGTATGAAATCCTAAAGTGTGACCATTCAAGTGAAATTTACTGAGCAGTACTTTCCTGTGGTACCTGTAAATTTTATTATGCTGTACAAGGTGGTTATAATTTTAGAATCTGTGGATGAAATCCTAAAGTTTTCCCATTCAAATGAAAGCTATTGAGCAGCACTTTCTTGTGACACTGTTTATTATACTGAACAAGGTGGTTCTGTCGTTTGAGTGTATGCATGAAATCCTGTGGTCTGACCATTGAAATGAAAGGTACTGAGCAGTACTTTCCTTTGGTACTGTTCTTTATGTTGTACAAAGTGGTTCTTGCTTTTGAGTGTGGATGAGACGATCAAGTGTGACCATTCAAATGAAAGTAACCGAGGAGTACATTCCTGTGGTAGTGCTTATTATGCTTTACGAGATAGTTCTAAATTTCGAAGCTGTAGATGAAATCCGTAAATGTGACCATATAAATTAAAGCTACTGACCTGTAAATTCCTGTGGTGATGTTTATGCTATGAAAGGGGGATGTTAACATAACGTTATGGTGGATGAAGCCTTGAAGTGTAACAAACTAATCAGTGATTAGCTACTGATCGCCACCGAATTCTGTACGAAATGAGCTGGCTCCTTCTGGTTCGTCTCGTATTTTAGTTGTCGCTCATTGTATTTTTTTGCGTAGGTAACCTGTGGTAGAGGGCACAGGTCAAGGCGTGCAGCCGTCAGTGCTTCAGAAGGAGTGGTAAGCACACATTTAGCGTAAAATTGTGACGAGCTATACAGACAACTTTCTTTTAACGAAGAACTCTAAAAGACGGGGATCAGTTTGAGATCATAGGAAACTGTCCACCTACTCCTCCCTTAATACAACGTTAACTAAGACAAATGTTGGGTTAGAGGAGGATTGGGTCGGGGTCACCCTTCTAAGACGGACACTTGAGGTAGTCTTTTTCAACCTTCTCCCCAGAGCCTTGCCTTTAAAACATGAGAGGGACTTGTAATAGTTGATTGTCTCAACTTAGCGAGCGAACAAATGCACTATTCACCATTTTCACATAGACCACAATGCACGTTGTTTACCCCTCAACATTTTGCATAACCACTGCCTTCGATTTCTCTTGAAACGGCTTAACACCCAGGGCCGAGTTGTTCAAAGCTGGGTTAAGATAACCCAGGGTTAGTGCGAGATTTGAATTCAGATATGAAAGCTTGAAAAAAGCATTTCAGTTTTAATTCTTTTTGTCTACAAGTTGATGATTGGAAGCTCTAAAAATAACCGAGAAAATTATCCGAGAAAATACTTTTGAACATAAGAAAAAGGAAACCGGGGTTAAATTTAACCCCGGGTTAAGCGCTAATCGGCCTTTGAACAACCGGTCCCAGGAGAAAATATGCAAAATTTTGGGAGGGAAATAAGGTGCATTATGGTCTATGTGAAAATGGCGAATGGATAAAGTTATGTGCTCTTTTATTTCCCTTAATTTAACCTGAGCACTCGCTTTCATATTGAGAGTCTTCTAGTTCTTATTTATTTCTTTATTTATTAAAATTATTTACTTTTGTATTTTTTTATCTCAAGGCTACAAACAGTAGTGTCGACTTGAGCAAGGTCAACCTGGCACCAGTTTACTCGGCAGACTATCCCGTAATATTCAACATCTGTCTGTGGCTTTTGGTGGTGTTAGCCCTGGCTCTTTACGTCATTAGTCTGGTCATGTGGTACCTGGATCCCGGTCGTGACAGCATTATTTATCGCATGACGAGTCAGAGAATTAAGACTGATTGACTAGCGGGCTTCAATCGAAGAACGACTTACAATTATAGGATTAAGACTGATTGATGTACTTGTAAAGAATTATACCAAAGCTTGCGCCTTGGTTTTCTTATTCTGTTCGTTTTTGTCAATTTGTAATACAGCTTAAAAGAATGTGCGATGAATTGTTGCTTTCTTAAGAGCTTGCGTAAAAAATATAAAGAATACCAAATCCGCTCACTAGCTCTAGGTGGTTGGTTAGCTAAGGCTCACCGAGTCATTTCCTGAAAAGCAGTCTGATCCAGTCTCCTCCCTCGTAGCCGTTTTTGTCTCGTCAACAGGAGTGTTACGTGATGAGAGAAACACGGCTGGGAGGAAGACTACCTGAAACGCAGCTGGCGATAGAAAAACATTTCTTAACTGTAAGTTTGATCAATGCTTTTACTTTAAGGGCCGTCTGTTAAAATTAATGTAACAGAGCAGTTAAGAAAAGAAACATTTCAATGGCGATTTCTTATCTTGGGTATTTAATTTTATATTCTGCTCTGTTCTAAATGTAGTAAACATCCCTACCTTTATGTGATGTGTGTTGTAGCTAGCGAACGCGGACAAATTTCAGGTTGTAGCTTCTCCCACTTTTCGGAACTAGACAAGCGACACCCGGAACTGAAATAAGTCAGCGCTCTTAGGCTCTCTGGTGCCAGTAATGAAATTGTAAAACAAACTCAACGGAATTAAAATCATTTTTTTGTTTGATATTTTGTAACATTAGCATATTTTTGAGTCTTAATTGTAAACATTTCCTTTGCCCTGCAACACAGCATTCAGTGAGAGTCAAGATGCAGAAGAAGGTCCCGTCTCGCGCCTTCAGTCACGCGCGTGGTCATTTGCGTGTCTCGGGCGTTTTGCTCGACCGACCAGGAAAAAAGAGAGACTGCTCTTAGTCTACAAGAAAGGGTGAACTAGTCCGTTATCTCTTGCTTGATAACAATAAAATTTTGGGCTGTATATCACTTTTTGAGATTTAAGGCACTGTCAACATTGAATATCACTCTGAACGCAAAAGGAAAGGGTTATGACATTGATCAGTAAGTCCCAGCTCTCTAGTCGTTTGGGTTTTCATGCAGCGCTGTTACAGTGATATGGGCATCCACGTTTCGGGCAGCCCCATTCCAAAACCCTAGTGATATGGGCATCCCCTTCTCATATTACTCTAGCGATTTGGATTAGGGTTAGGGTTACAAGGGATGCCCATATCACCAGGGTTTAGGGAATCGGGATGCCCAAAACGCGGGGATGCCAATGCCACTATGACAGCGACATGTCGCGTGTATTGAGGCTTGGCCCAATACACATGCGGCAGAAGTGAGTTAATGTTCCCTTGTGTAACTGGCGGTTTTGATAGCGCCAGCGAGCGGCCAAGCCGCAAAGAGAATGGGACGTGGGTGTGCTTTTCGATAAACGGTTCAAGATGAACTATGTATCTGGAACAAAGCTACCAAGAAATACCGCACAAACTCGGCTTTCATATAATGTTAAGAATAATGCAGATCTGGAAGGTTGACGGAATTTTTCGTTGGATAGTGATTTATCCGGTGCATAGCGTGAACATGTTCAACGTTTGGAAAATCGGAGCCAGAAGTTCTTAAAATAATCATGCTACTGTAAGATGATAAAAACTGACAGAGTTTGATACAGGGGATCAAACTACAACAAGTCACCCAGTAAGAGAGTTAATTAAATAAGATGTTTTACGGATCATTTACGAGTTAATAATCATTATGGCGTGATATTGATTGAATTATTTCCTCGTATCCTGTGAAACCGGAGGTATGTCATCGATGGTGGTCTTATGTTCAGCAATTATTAGCTGAGGCTGGGTATGATATGGAGAATAATACAGGTCTAAGCAGGTTTCACCCCTCCCTGAGGAAGCCCATCCCATGATCCACTGCACTGACTGATTTTCTTTGTCTAGTTGACAGCGGAGCGTTATCTACCTTTTAAACAACTGGTGCCAGGTCTTAGGCGGTCTGCTAGTCTCAAACTATATTATGACCTATTATCAGCTTGACTGGCTGTGAATTGCTAATCTGGAATCTTCTTTGTAGACAATCTACATAAAAGAAAAACATTGATCTCGAAAATTGCTTAGAGGATGAGGTGATAAGGACCACTTCACACATTCACACTAAACGTTTCTTAAAGCAGCCATTATAAATTCGCTTATAATCTCGGTTTCATCAAAGACGGTCAAAATATCAAAAACCAATAATATCTGTCTTATGATAAGATTGCTATTACAAATTTGAATTTTTTTTTTCTTGAGCGGAAACCACCAGATTTGTGCAAATACGAAAACAAGAATAAACATTAGTCATCACTTTAATTTGCAATTCAATTTCTGTTCGATTCTGTTTTAGCTTGGGTCCTTGCGGGCATCTCTTTACAAAGACGTTACGGTTCACGATAGCATTCTTCAGATTCCTCATGGGCAATATATCAATGAGCGGACTACATGTACTGTTATTCTTCTCATGTGTGACAGCAGGTAATGCCTTGAATTTACTTGTACAGAAATATCTGCGTAGAATCGGATATGTTTCGCGAATAAATCAATGCGAGCGGGCGAAGAACGGTTCAGACAAATAGAAATTCAACTAAAGGTCATATAAATCGACAAGATTTAATTTCAAATTTAATAAGTTAATAGGCTCAAATCAGTACAACTGAGTCAAGTACTGTAAGTTGGTTACCTAGTGGTTTTAGAGAAGATATAGTTAACTCGTTTTATAAGGACGTGCCGAACGGCTAAAACGTAAGCGGAGAGTTTTCGCCTAGCTATAGAACGCGTCATGTGGGCACTCAATCTGTACAGGGGTCAGTGGAACAGTGAAACGGGTACGTGAATTGCTCTTTGAAAACCTTAGTCAAACCTCTTAAAACACGGAGCTAAAAGTTTCGTCCGTCTGTTTAGCGGTAACCTTGAAATTCATTAGCCATTCAAATGACTGCAAAAACCCGACAAATATTACCATAATAGATACAGCAAACAACAGTAGAGTGACATGGAAGGCAAACTTCATTCACTATGAGAGAAACAGAAAAACGCCAGAAAAAAGAGGCGGTAGTTTATCCAATAGAGGTTACCACTGAAGGTAGTCGCAATCGGAAAAAGTTAAAGCCGGGGAGTCTTGTGTTGTTAAAAACATATGGCTCTATGTTCATTCTTTTCTGTTAGATCCTCTATTAAAAAATTCCTCTGGCGACGTACGGTCTTGCATGTTTTGAAATCCTGGCTCATTTTTTTATGGATGCTGTCTTACCGGAGGATCCAGACTTTTCTCCTCGAGGAGAAAAGTCTGGATCTTGGCTTGGATCATGGGTGAGAAACAGCAACAAACTTAAATCCTTTGTTGCGATCCCCTGCGGGATTCGAGCCCGGCACCACTACTCGGTTGGAGACGAGTGCAACGGGCCGGCTTTTGGGAAGACAGTAATACTACCCATAGTTACCCTCTTCTAACTACAGTGGAACCCCCGGGGGGTACTCCCATACATTACCTATATGGGTATGAGCCGCCCAACGGGGTCGTGATTTTGAAGCTCCTGATTTAGAATGGGGTATCCATTTCAGAGGCGTTTTCTAGAACCGGGTATAATATTTCGAACGCACGAAAGTTCCAGTTTTGTAAGCAGCCATTTGAAATTATTCAAGGGCAGATTGCTTTTAAAAACATGGTTCAATGCGTTAATAAGCAAACTGTTGTACCCTTTGCAGCTTAGAACGGAGTATAAAAAATTGGCCCATTTCTAGAACGGGGTATCAGTTTTAGGGGAAATTCTAGAACGGGGTATCAATTTTAGGGTAAATTGTTTTTAGAACGGGGTGCCAATTTGGAGTCCCGGGCGGCACATACCCACCCAAAAAATACCCAAGTGCCCCCCCCCCCCCCGGAGTGGAACCTCTATTACGTAGACCCCAATTAAGCGGACACCCTCTATTAAGTGGACACTAAGCCGGGTCCTGAAGTGAACGTCTGATATTTCCCTTTATAACGAACCCCTATTAAACCCCTCAGACACTAAAATAAGGTGTACAGTATTTGGCTAATTTCTGTCGTTAAAAACCTCTGTTAAGCGGACACCGGACCGAATTGACAATAGTAGTATTGGATTACGTCCTTGAAATACGGACTGAAGTCAGTTAATACTTTTGAATTTACAAAAAAATTAAAGCTGGTAATGAAAGGTAATGAACTTGAACTCTGGATAGCTTCTTTAACAACATGCAACTTTATCACAGTACAGGGTAACCGTTGAATGTTGACCGTTAACAAACATTGCGCAATTTTTACAACCTCTATTAAGCGGACACCCAGGAAGGTCCCGAAGGTGTCCGGATTCACTGTATGTACTACCAAACAATAAGTAGACCGCGAATTCAGAGGTAACAGTTGACTTCGGCGCCAGACGTCCACGACACGCGTTACCTTGCTTTGATTGTCAAACCAAAAAGGTGAACTCGCGTGGTCACATTCTGAGCGTTTGATAGGTCAAAAAAAGGCCAAATCGAATAATGGTGTTCTCTAGCCTGCGTAGCTGGCGGGATTAGCAGGCGAGTGCAGTAGTATTTTGGCGGCCAGAGCCGCGCGAAGATTGGGAACAAATCAAATTGAAATCCCGCCTGCCCTAATTCTTGGGTAATTTGAATAGTCCGAAAACCAGGCGTACGGGAGTTTCTGATTGGCTGAGAGGCGGTAACACGTCAATCAAATGTAATGGTAATCCGGCTAGTTTCTCCCAATGGAAAGTTCGGAAATGAAATTAAATTGAGCAAACTAAAAGGTTCCTAGTCCTTTCAATTCAACAATTCAACAAAATAACCAGTTAAAGAATTAAATTAACTAAGTAAATGTTAGCTAATGTTCTTTTTGTATCGTTTGCAGTTTATTCACTGCAATGCTACAGTTGTACCCTCGAGGATAACCCCGATGCACTCAAACACTGCGAGTTACCGAAATCTGGGCTTGGCAATAACACAGTCGTCAGCTGTTCATCGGGCGAAGATCGTTGCATCATCGTAAAAACATTTCGCAAGGACGGAACTGTGACCACCTTTAGGCGAAGTTGTTCTGCAGTTGGATCATGTTCAAACAACTGTGCGTCCCCTGATCCAGAAGGAACAGCTGTGTGCGACTCTTGCTGCGAAGACGACTTGTGTAACAAGGGAGAGGGACCAAAGGCGTCTGAAGTGTCAGGGACATCGAGGCTTACAATAACCATGGGCTTGTTCATGTCTGGGGGTTTTCTTGTGTGGTTCTTGTTGTAACGTAACCCTATGGCCATTAACGAATTTATATGTACCTTCAATAGACGACTTCGTAGAAGAATGATTCTAGGACATAAAGACAATTACAAATAGTCATTCTGCATTGTGATTCATTCACGTAAATTTCTAGAGAGGGACATGTCAATGACGCCAGCTGAAAATTATGTTGTACCGTAAATCTTATAGTCTACGAGTAGTCTTTTAAATCTGAAGAACCCCCGACAAATCTTACAACAGACTTTACTTTCTCATGTAGCATGACCAAGGAGTTAAATGACATGGATATTGGGTGGTCACGTGCGGCATTTTTCTGCACGATTACTCTTACTCCAGCCTAGTCCCTAGGCGTTCTCGGCTCGGTCAACCCTGGATTCTACCGTGAGCTGTGACGTTACCGAGAGATACACGCCCGGTCTTTCGCAGACTTCTCGTTGACAACGGGGCAGGAGAGAACGCATAGGGACTAGCCTGCTCTTACTCAGTTCCAGTCCAGAATTTGTAAACGCTGCGTCTTCTTAAATCCTTGCACAATTTTAGACCATAAAATTATTTTAAACTTTTTATCGGGCCTTAAGCAAGTGCTATAACTGATAACCCGGAGCGAGCAACTCCCTTGCAATTGTGTCCATTCAATGGCGTTTTCAAAGCCCAGTTTATTAGTTTTAGAACGCCGTTTTCGCGCGAGTTTTGATTGTAATTCTTACAAATTGTTCAGGCATAAAAACTTGAAGTATTTCTGACTGCATGTACTTCTTCTTTTGGTAATTAATTCACTATGGATGCGAACGCATATGAAACGGTGTTTCCATTTTCGCGTGAAAAAGTGCTAGAAAATGATAGAAAGAAATAACTTGATCTGTTCAAAAGCCGTTGCATAGGCTAAGTATGAGAATTGCACTCTCCGGGTTATGGGCTCCTGACTTCCGCAAGTTGCCTAATACTGAGATCGACATATTTTACAAGCTTTAAAAGCTTTTATTTTATGTTAATTATATGATTTTCTCTTTTAGGTCTCAAATGCGACTTGTTTCATTTGTTTCATGTCATTTGTCTGAAGCAGTTGTGCATTTGCAGTTGTGCATTTGTAACACAAAAATAAACCAGCTTAGAAAACCAGTCATTGATTATTAAAATTTCTTTTTACAGGTAAAATGATGTATCTGGTTACTTTGTCTGTCGTGTCGAGATTAAAAATACCCTTACAGCTTTTCCCTTACTGGCAACCGCCAAATTTCACACGGCCAAAAAGTATGAGGAAGTTCATTGCTGTCTGACAACATGACCCAATGAAAACTGTATGCCACCAAGCATCTCATGCTTTTAATTTATGTAAAAGGAAACTATAGCATTCGGTATCAGTCATGGAAGACAGTTTGTTTGTTCTGTATTTGGATCCAGACAGCAACAAACTTGTACTTCCTTAAACTTGTCACGACTAGATTACGTGACGTGCCCAGAAGTAAATCACTTTATACAATAGTAATACGCAATATACATTCAGACAATTGGCTATTCATTAGAAATAAATTAAATTATTTTGTACTTCCCGATAAAAATGAAATTCGGGTGATAAGAAGGCAGAGAAGGTTGCTTGGAGTAATTATACTTGCTCCATTCTTTCTTTTAATTGAAGTCCAGCCCCTGGTGCAGCATTTAATCGAAAGAAATTATTCTGAGGGAAATTTCCCAGAAATCACGAGAAAACTGTTGATCGCGGAGGACGAAAGCTCAGCTTCTTTGAACTTGAACGGTATTCTGCAATGGCTGATCATCACTTACAGAAATCTCTTGAAGACGCCATCAGTGAATTTAAGTGCTATAATGATCGTACGACATCACTATTTAAGCGGACCTCGACTTGTTTTCAAGAGATCTTGGAAAGCATAGACATCGGTTCGACTGAAGCAGAAGACACAAACACATTGATTCCCTTTTCTCAACTGGACGAAGTAGAAAGAGAGCTAAGGAAAAGCCCTTCTGTATTTTTCATTGGCGAAAGAAACTGTGGAAAGAGCTCCATCATTAATGAGCTCCTTCAACAGAGTTCTTTACCCGTGCACGAAAATCCATGCACGGCAAGAATCGTTAGGATCAAATACTCCGATGAACCATATGCCGTTCTTCTCCGATCGGATGGCGTAGAAGTCGGCAGAAAGGCGCCAACAAGGGGAAGAATTCCTGAGGAACTTATAGTAGTCACTGATCAGGACCGAGAGAACGAAAATGCATTGGACGCGACCGTGGAGGTGGGACTGAAGCACGAACTCCTCCGAAGTGGAATCGAACTGATTGACTCGCCTGGCAAGGGTGAGTCGGACGTGTTGGACACAGTTTTGAATGAATACCTGGAGAAAGGCAGTGTGCCCTTGTTTGTCTACGTTATTGACGGAAAAGTACACCTGAGAGGATCGGTAAGTCTGAGCTGAATCTTCAAACATTACTCAGAATATAAAGTAATATTCCTATACTCAGCGGTACACTAAACTCTTCAAAGTACTCATTACAGTAAAAAGCTACGTACGTTTATATAGAGCAATAGAGTATTGACTGCACCGCGAAAGGCCAACATGCATGCGTCAGTTTTAAATGGCCTCATGATGTATTGAATTTGGATAGGATGTGTGGTAATTTATTATCATAGATGCGTTTGGAAAGTGATATTTATCCCGGAAGTACCACTAGTACACCTAGATCATCTTCAGAATGTACTTCCTTTTTGCTTGAAACCCGTTGTTTGTTTAGGTCACTTGTCAACAACCAGCTGAGAAACAGACTTGTAAGGGAAAAAAAGAGGAAATTTATCAACATCTGTCGGGCGAGAGCTGATGCGTGTACAATGCGAAAAGCGTAAGGCCTGTTTCAAAGGTCGTGCTCCTGCCGTGCTAAGCTGGCTCGACTGTAGCTCGACTGCAGCACGACACTAGCACGACGTGGTTTCGTACGTCGAATTTAATTCATTCGAATAGAACGGCTGTTGCCGAAAACGAAACACAAAAATAAAGAAACGGTTTGGCAAACTTTTAAATGTATCAGTTCTAATGTATTTATAATTTATGAATTGAGTTTGGCACGGCAGTAGCGCGACGTTTGAAACCAAGTCGAGGTACTGCCGTGTAGCACGGCAAAGTTTCACGCTGAAGCTTGCCGTGCTACACGGCAGTAGTACGACTTGGTTTCAAACGTCACGCTACTAACGTGCTAAAGTCGAATTTAATTCGATCAATTTAGTTCGGCACGGCAGTAGCACGACGTTTGAAACGGGCCTAACCTGTATAAATTTGTTGTTTTTGTCTTGCACTATTGCACATTCAAAAGCGTTATGCATGAAAAAACATAATACATATATTTAGCCAGGGCTAAAAGCGTACCTCCAGTTAATAAATTTATAATTTAAATCAAACAATATGTAGGCTTGTAATCCACAAATCAGTTAACTGGGGAGGTCCATATGAATTTTAAGGGTGGGTTTGGGTGATTTTAGAGAAAAAATAATTTGCAAACAGGGCAAGAATAAAAAACAACCTCTAAAATCTTTCATCGAGTTAATAGTCTTATATGTACACCAAATAAGAAGTAATCACCTTTGATCACAGTGGATTAGGCGAGGAAAACAAATTCAAATTCTTCCCAAGCAAAATGACCTATTTGCCCAGCTACACCACCTTTATTTTTTAAGGGTATTTATTGGAAAGGGCCGAAATATAATTCTATGCTATATAAGCCGTTAAGACACGATAGTCCACGGTGGCAGGCAATCTACACCTTATAACTTATTGGTTTTATCTCTCTGTCTAAAGGAAAGACCAAAATGAAAAACCAGGCCGAATTTTTTTGTGTGGCTCGCTACAAGTTTACTTTGCAAATCTGGTAGCGCGTAAACCAGCTTTTTTACATCACCTGTGAGGTAATTCTAAACAGAACTATCAGGCGTTGTTTGGTTTATCTTTCGGACCTCGAACAGAATTTACGATATTTCAGTTTGCCCTATTTTACTCATAATTCTGCAGTTTTTTACAGAATAATCTTACAAGACAAATTGCACTCATTTAATATTAAGGACGATCGAAGCACGCGCTTCCCTTCCACAACAAATTATAAAAATGACAACAACATAACACGTTTTTATATAGAGACTTCACCATTACGGAAGGGACTGTTCAGTCAGGTCATTCTGCTGTTATGTAGTATGCGGGGTAATGCTGGGCTTTGAGCAAAAACTTTCAAAAAAATCTTATTTTAATTCAGTTTCCAAAATCAACCGTCCACCCTTCCACTTCTGAATTTTGCCAAGTATCAAACTTGTATTTTCCTTAGCATTTTACTTCTAAAACACCATATAAATGTTCATTTGATACGTGCAGCAGTTAAGTACTCCTGCATGCGATGTTTATGTACAACTGAAACTGAACAACAATCGGCAAAGCGATAAGAAAGAGATCTTGACAAACAATGAAGACAAGAAATATAATTCAATGATACACTTCAAAGGACATTTTTATTCACGAAGACTTGAATTGAGAGTGAAGTGTCTCTGAAAATGCGGTCAAGGAGTAAAACCTTACGCTCAGTAAGCTTACGTTTCAAGCTTCGCAGTGGTTGCTATTTTTCAGGTTGAACTCGAGGCAAGAATATCGCTCAAAGCTTTCTTTTACAACCAAAAGGATAACTAAAACTTCAGAACGTTTTCTTTCACTAAGTCGCGGTCAGAAAATGTCTAAAGACTTTTTAAGTTCTGTACTAGGTCATATCCCCGTCTCAAATCTTACAAATATGCGTAAAGTGACGGCCCCATAAACAATGCTCGATTTCATGAAACCAGCAAAAAGTAAACCTCAAATGCAATATAATTACTCAAGCTTACCGGTCGAGATGCAGCCATCAAGTAAGGCCAGAATCGCTTAAGACTTTATAACCCTCTTACGCATCCAGTAAGACGAAGTACTAAGAGAAGCTCATTTTTGATAACGATGATTTCCGATTACTTTTTGTCAAGCGGCGCATTTCTCAACCAAAACCCCCAAAAGAGTCCCGGATTAAATTTTCTTAAAAAGCTCCACACCTTCATGGGAAGGATACAACCCATAAGTCCCTAAACCATGCGTTATGAGGGTGCAAAATGTTGGATCCAAACGGATTGTTGCGCTACGCTTCGGCGATCACGGAATAAAAGAAATGTTGGCTGAAAAGTTTGACCGGTTTCAAACTTTGAGCAACAACATCCAACAACATCCAACAACATGCAACAGGGTGTGCAAACGGAGGCAACATGTAACATCCAGAAATGTACAAAAAAAGTGTGCTGCACGTGGAAAGTTGCTTTTTAGCTAATTAGATATATTGTTGTTTTTCACCGTTCTTCGGCGTTGCCTTCACCGCTTAGCATTACACGAGTTTATATTTGTTTTGAACAAACTATAAATATTATCGAGAGTTTCGCTTTTAGCCCTGGTTAAATCTATATATTATTGCAATATAAACTACGCGTTTAATCTCAAAAGCAATTTGGGTTACACTCACCCTCTCGTAGAGCAGTCTACGCAAAAAAATCGGCTGATCAAATACAAATTCTTCAAAAACTTCGATTCGTCAGTTCTCTTAAAAGGGCGAAGCCACAAGACGCTCCGTAATGGAGAAAACAGAGAATAAGTACTCGAAGCAAAGAAGAGCATGCGGTGTGGGGTCCGCACCACCAGATGTTTGGTTTTGCGTCAGTGGTGAGTGCACAGGGGTTTCCGCAGCTTACTCCTGGACATTCCCCAGGATGACACTTGTAATTTGGAGGCGAGAGCACAGGGAAGAGAATGGGAAACTCTACGATCTGGCTGCCTGGTCCTCACAGCGCATGCTATTCTATCCAAAACCCAAACTTTGGTCGATAATTCTGGATTCCAGATACTAAATTTTGGAATCTCTGTCAGTGGAAGTTGGATTCCGGATTCCGACTAATAGCGGGTTATATGGAATCCCGATAACCTTACATAGGGCGACTTTTTGGTTTGGTTTTACCCAATACATACCACAGAAAACCAAGCAAAAGATAGGAGCCCGACTCGAATCCTGGTCGGCCACGGTGTTCTAAAGAAACTCCCTTTTGCCAGGCAAACGGCTTGGTCTTTGTGTGGCTCGGATGACCACCAAGTAATGGCGGTCCTGTTTCCAGTAGGAAACGCAAAAACAGTGGTCACAATTTGAAGGAGGAACTGCGATGGCTGATAATCTGTCCACAAACCGTAACTCAAAAAATTAATTAAAAATTATAGCTTTATGTATAAAGAGAGGAGAAGTGTGACGTCACGTTACCACGGTAGCACTATTCCTGGATGACAAGAAAACCAACGACGACGGCGACGACAAGGACAACGGCAAGAAAATAAAATGTTTATATTAACAAACAGCAACTTTGCACGTGAAACACGCTATTTTATACATTTCTTTGCCATCGTTGCACCACTACGACATGAAATTTCCTTATTTCACGAGCTCGCTTTATGGAGTAGGTTAACACGACACAAAAATTGTCGCTTTCTTTTTCTAAACTTAGATAACGATAGATACGGTCCCAAAGAAAATTTCGCCACGATTTGCCAAATTAAATGAAATTAAATCGGGGAAGTTTGAAATAGTGCGAATAGACTTTCAAGTGACTTTATCGACTTGTTGTCATCCAAAAATTTTGCTACCATGGCAACGTGACGCAAGGACTTCTCCTCTCTATTTTGTTTGAGTGAGTGGTGGAAGGAAGGAACGTTTTAAGGTGGAACGGAGAGGCCGCAGAAAAGGCCGCACGAAAACGCTTTAAGTAACACCATTTTGTTCTTCATTTTTTTTATTTAAGGATAAAGAAACCCTGAGCTTCTTGAAAAACAAATTTCCTCAGTGTCTCATCATATTTGTATGCAACAAGGTAGACATCACTGAAGAAGCGCATGATTCTGACGAAGATTCCGATGACAGCGACGACAGCAGTGACGAAGAAAGCAGACTTGACAAAGGAGAGGTAGTTTTCAGTCAGTTGAAAGAAAGCAACTTTCTCACGGAAAATTCATCGAAAACGTGTTCTTTATATCACGCCATTTCCGCGAGGGCAGTTAGAAATGAAAGAAGAAATAGTTCTCCAAAGTCACAGGAAACCGAAAGATTTGACCGATTTGCGTCGTGTTTGCAGCATCATCTTGGAAAAGTCATGAAGACACAGACCAGGCAGGTTGTTCAAAAACTTCTTGTTCTTCAAGAGAGCTTTGTGAACATAGTCCAGGTGCAGAGAACTGTCATCACAGAGAAAGCGTCTCTTTTGCCGCAAGTTGTTAAGAAGGGCAATGACATAGAAACGAAAATTTTCAAATCGCTTTCACGGCTTACTTTCGCCTCAGATGGTGCCAAAGAAAGACTCGTGGATAGTATAGGACGTGCAAAAGCAGAATGTGTTAAAGACGCTGAAGTCTACAAACCAGTCAACCTCCGACATCTTAAAAATGACGCCCAAACGATGGTTAAAACAGACCTTCCTGATCTCTCGGCTGAACTCACTACACTACTCAGTACAAACTTTGACATCGGTTTTCAGCGATTCCTGAGTGATATGAAAGGAGGCATTTTGGAAAAGATGTGTAATTCACTTGGGCGTTTTGTCGAGGCGGCAATGAATGAAATGGTGAGTGACCTGACCGAGGATATAATTGCATTCAATGAAGAACTGGCCCATCCCATGGTCTCTCGCATTCTAGAAGAGAGCTATGACATTCAGTTCCTGGCAGTCAAAGCAGAAGCTGATGAACTGATTCAAACTGTTTTAAACGGACTGCTTGATTCCTTTAAAGAGGCCGCTAGCATTGCTCTGAGACGAGAAATTTCTGAACCCCTCAGTGCAATAGATACGTCAAGTTACACCAACAACGACGTTAACAGAAAAGAAACTCGTAAGGCCATCGTGTCATCTCTTCTTGAGACGATTGTCGAGGAGCGAGTGGCAAAAGCAGTACACGAGGCCTGTTGCAATCGTCTCACAAAAATGCACGAGCTGTTTAGCACAGCCGTGTCCTCGCTTTCCTCCTTGCAGAGAAATTTTGCGCACTGCCCGGTGGCATCTCGGCTTGAACTGTTTCGTGTCCATTATACACCTGAGATACGCACTCTGGCTGTTGAAGGAATGGCTCTGCAGAACATGCATCATAGAGGGCCTGTAGAACTGGGCTCAATTATTGCCAAGACACGGAAGGGAGTCATTTATGATTGCATAAGTGAGCGCTGGTGCAAGGTTTCACCAAGTGGACAATGCGCAGTAAAGGTGCTAGAAAAACGAAGCTTGGGCGAGGCTATCTGGAAACAGACTGCCGTGGATTTAGTCAATATGATGTAAGTTATGCCTTTAAATTGTATTGTTACTCTGCATTGTCCTCGAGCTGGAAACATTTACAAAGAGTTTGGTAATTTGATGTTATTGTGAAGGGGTAATTACTGTTAATTCAGTGAACGTTCGCGAATATTGACAATCAATTGTCACGACCCGTAAATTACTCTCCTAGAATGATTAGAGTGTAATCCTCTCATTGCCATTTACTTTTACAAATTGCCACGTGGTGCTCTCATAAAAATACATTATGTTGAGCACCTGAAAGGGATACATAGAAAATTGTTAAATAACATAAGCTCATTTAATGCCGAGGTCTGAGCTTAGAGTTGGTTCTACATGTACATATTCACCAGGCCCCGGTGAAAAGCTGGATAGCCCTATCCACCACTAATCTAGTGTATAGCGCTATCCACCTTTTGAACCACTGGGAGCAGATGTTTTTGTTCTTTGGAAATCTTCCATTTCGTTCCTTGTTCCTGTAGGGACATGATTCAGAAACACCACGGATCTCATCCAAACCTGTTACGCCTGTTTGGCTGGGTCTTCCCTCAGCCTGATGTGCTGCACGTGGTTATGGAAAAGGCAGAAAGAGGTCTGCTGTCCGCTCTCCAGAGCGGATTACCACTGCTCATTAGGATGAACATTGCGGTGGATGTAGCTAAAGGTCTAAAGGCCATCCATGAGATCAATTACATTTACGAGGACTTAAAGCCTGAAAACGTCTTGGTAAGATTAGAAGCTCTTCATCCCTAATGATGGTCAAAGTTCAAGGAAAACGTTCTGTTTTGTAAAATCCTCGATAGCAAAATAATAAGTTCCATGCAAAAGTTTTGCCACAATCGGTTTGAGTTAAATTGATAATACCATAGAAAATTCGTCGGTAGACTCAAAAGCCAGAATAACGGAATATCTCGACTTAAGTCATTTTAGCTCGATTTTAGCAGGGAAATGAATAAGCTTTTCTTTGAGCTTGCATTAGGAGACGCATTCATAATAAGGTTTTAGTAGATATAGGACCAGACAGGAGCCTTTGAGAAGTCGTTTAGACGTGTTTGTGCGTTTCTGTGTTCGATTTGGAATTCGAAATATTGGTTTCTAAAGGGAGAGGGGCATCGGCGTACTGGGAGAAAAATCTCTCGGAACTAGAAAGAACTTGCAATCTGGTCCAAAACGGTGGGACGGGAGCTGCTCTAACCACGTATAGCGCCACGCTTGGGAACCAAACGAGTCGGAGCGGACAAAGATGGGAAAGGGGAAAGGCCAGGAGGTGGGAGTTCTCATTGGGTGGGAAGCGGAAGAAATAGGGGGAAATTACTCAACATTATGCTAAATATTTCGTAATCGAAAAGGGGCTTAAGGGAGGAAGCCAAGAGAAAAGGAGGGAGAGGTTTGGACACCTTCTCAATCCCCCACCCCCCCCCCCAATCGACACACCCTGTCCCTCCCCCACCCCCCACCCCCCAATCGACTGATGTTGGTGGTAATTAAAGTATAACTTAAGGTTCTTTTATCTTTTTAGTTGACGTCTGATGGAACAGCCAAGATCAACCTCACCAAACCCGAATTCCCGTACGAGATGACTTCACTTGGAGCGCCATTCCATATCTCACCGGAAATGTACCAGCACCATGGTACAGGCCAGCTGAGTTACCCGTCGTACGACGTCTATGCATTTGGAATTCTGTTATGGGTGCTTTGTGAGGGATCGGGAGAGACACGGCCACGCGTGTACCGGCACCTGGAAACTATCGAGGAGATGAGGGAAGCAGTGGAGAAAGAAATCTTTCCAGAGAGGTTCCCAGGGATTACCGATGCATGCTGGGATTTGATGTGGAGTTGTTGGGATCAAAGAGAAACTATTCGTATGGACAGTGTTGTCGAAATTATGGAAGGAATAAAGAGGAGATGTTGGGCAGAATCTTAGAAATTGCTTTAGAGCATTCAGACAGTCCATGCTTAAAACAAGGAAATGAGACCTGAAGTGTTCTCCGGTAAGATTCTCAGATGGTCTGACGTCGCATGCTGGAAGTGTAAGCCAGGGACTTCTGACCATTTGAGAAGATCACGTGTGATCCCTTTGTAAGAGTTCGGAACATAATAACCCACTTGTATTTCAGTTTGTTGTTTAGATACCGTCAATCAATTTTCATTGTGGTGTCAGTATGGTGCGTCCTTGGCACGTATAAATTAGTGAGAAAAGATTTAGAATAATAGGCCAACGTCAGTTGCAGAGTGATAGACACAAATATATTATCATCAACTAATTCATCGTAAAAGAAAGCGGCAGAAACTGACGAATCGAGCACTAGCCCTTCATCACAGCAAATTAGGGGATTGTGGGTTGACTGTGATACATGAATCCAAAGGGGAAGCTACAGTGCTCATGGTGGAACAGAAGACAAGCCTTTCATTTATTGTTAACTTTTCATTAGAAGCTTCGGTAATAATTTCACCGAGTTGAATACACTGCATAAAAATTCACAAACGTTTGGTTTGCTCTAACGAAGGCTAAGCGCTCGAAGGGTCTGTCAGGGTCCCCTTACGTACCCTGGATATATGTGACAAAATCGTTTCTTGTTTCTGCGATACTATACGCTCGTAGGTTAATGTCATAATAGTTTTTAAATTTTCAAGGGTCGCGCTTTAGATTGATTAGAAGCATTTTATTACTTTGCCTTTGTAGAAGTGCTGAAAGCAACCATAGTTAGCTAAGAGTGTATACGCAAATGTTATAAACAAAATTTCGCAATGGGTCGGTTTCAAAACAGACGGCTTCGTTGAGTCTAGGCTTGCGCAATTTTTTAAATTTTAACTGCAATTTAGTTTTTTTGTGGGCGCGTTTGGAAGCTTTAAACCAGAATTATATAGCTATAATTGTTTGTATATATTTGAAACATTTAATTAATGTGCAACACTTACATACTTTATGCTTTTCAGAGACGTAATGGTTGTAATATTGCTTAATTAATAGAAGCGCGCGAGATTGAGGGTTTTTTATTTTACCCCGTCTATTGTTTGTTTGTTTTCTTAATAACTGTGAAAGGTTTGAACCCAGGAGTCATTTCAAAAGTAGGTTGAGTTTTCTTAATGTTTGAAAACTGGTATCATTTACGTTTACAACTAGTTAAAAAATAGACTGATTTTGTAAACTAGAAAGAGAGATCATTTCTTTCATTTTTTTTCGGGCGAGTTGATAAACAAATATAGAAATGTGTCTTTGTCAACCATAGCCTTTTTTGACAGTATTAAAAACGTAATTATCATATTTGTTCTATAAGAAGCAGATCCGCAATTGACAATATTTTGTCCCGAGTGAGGCAAACATCCTCCAGCCAAAAGAGAAGATAATGGTCCCATTATCCTTTCTTACCAACCGGCCGTTACCAACAGTTGTTCGTGGTTTGTCATTGGCAAGCATGTCAAGGTAACGTTGTGATCGCCAGACCAATCAAACTGTAGAAAACAAGTGTGAATGACAATCCACTCAGGGGTAACGGCAGCCTCAATTGCTTCAGCTAAATCATTAAATTGTATTAAATTGTAATGTGTTTACCCACGGAGCACTTAGGAGTTCATAAGAACTCGTTGGATTGTGTCCGTGTGTTCCAGATCGAATTGGAATTTGGAAGTATTGGTTAAGGAGGGGGGAAACCGGAGTACCCGGAGAAAAAGCTCTCTGAGCAAGGGAGAGAACCAACAACAAACTTAAACCACGCATGGCATCGACGCCAGGATTCGAACCCGGGTCACATTGGTGAGAGGCGAATGCTCTTACCACTGCGCCACCCTTGCTCCATAAAGAATTTATCTGTGTTTTTTAGTTAACCGTTTCGATGATTGTTGGTTTTATCCAGTTTGTATTTCTTAGTTATGTTCTATAGTAATGTACCATTATCGAGTACTTTTAAATGAATATCTGAAATAAACATTCTAACACTGGAATTTTTTTGTCTCGGTATCACATGGCCTAGTCATTATCTTGCTCTTTAAAATTACTGTTTCATTCTAGTATATATATATTTCCTTTTCCATATCAAAAATGATGAACTTAACTTACAAATAGCATACCAGAAAGTTCAGGGTGGATAATTAACACGGAGTTTAGCCATTTTCAATTTTGCCCACCCTGATGATTAAAACTGTTTACTTCGAGCAATATCAAGAGTAGCTCAGGTTAAAGTACATTTCTATCCTCTAACTCATTTATAAATAAATGCATGGGTCTGCAGGTTGCCTTAAAACTGCGGCCTAAGCGACACTATATCGTTTAGATAATAGGTCTTTTATCTGTAGGAGTAGGTCTAAGTTGCTAGGTAATACATGCATTTTATCATACATCGCGATCCACCGCGGCCAAACATCTCAATACACTCAAATAAGTTCAAACACTGAAACAGGTTTAAGTAAATTGGCAGGACAATCCACAAGTAATAATAAACTTTGAAATATCTCCCGGTGGAAAGAGGTCTAACGACAGGCGCTTTGCGTTCTACTTTAGCGTCCAGTGTCTTTTTTGACCACCTCTTAAATATTGACTGTTTACAACTCCAGCAATCAAAAATGTTAGCATGAAAAACAACTCTTATTTCCTTTAAACTACTGCACATTTCCGAGCTACAAGTTATATATGGGATACTGCACTGCATACCGTAAGAAATTCTCTTGCATTACTTTTGCAGCGTTCTTTAGGTTATTTGTTAAAAAATACGACAGCGAGGTTTTCCCCCTAATTGATCTCAGTAGCAAAAGAGACAATTCTGGGAAAGGCTAACTGTTTCACAGCAGTTTGACTGCAACGCCAAATTCGTTTTCTTCCACCACCATGTTGGTTCAAAACCTCGTCTCCATAGTTTCATAACAAGAAAGCACGGAAGTGACCTTTACTTTGAAGTTTTCTAGCCATGAGGAAAGAGACTCTTCTTTCGGTAAATTAAACGTTGACTGTACAATGTTTAGCCCCTCGATCCTTCCTCCTGACGTCAAATCACCCTTTTCCATTCTTCTTAAAATGTTCTTAGAGTCCCTTTCCTGTGCGATTGCTGCGTACACTTGTTTCACGTCACTCGTCTCAGCGTAGTCAGGCCTGCAGTATTTGTCCTCTATCAGTAGCCATAGCAGCACTGCAAGACTGTACACACAGTGGTTTTTAAGGATGCACACTACCGCTGGATCAAACGTACGAAAACCAGGGTTGGTGTCGGGCACGTGAAACGGAGCTTTTTCGTCTGGATACAAAATGGAATCGTCTCTCGGTTTGGAGACGTTTAGCTTGGCGTTCAAGTTTTCGTCCAGCTGCCGTAAAACAAAAAGAAAGTTATGGAGCAGCCGCGCTTAACGCAGAGGTTGTACCAACGTATCTAACGTTGAGTTGTGTTAGATTTTTAGTCGTTAATATCATCGCCGTCAAATATTAAAGCTTCCTTACATCTACAGATAGTTTTGCACATTACGTCACGGTGGCCATATTGGTTTACCTTAAGAATGAAACGGCAGCCATGTTGGTGTAGAAAAAAAATTTCGGGGATAGAAATTTTTTTCTCATGTAAAAGCTTTATTTTCGTTTGTTCCAAGAAATTCTTATAGTTGCTAACCACGTGAGTGATGTAAGGAAACTGAGACGAGAGCGCAAGAGATACAGAGGCTGGTAAATATATTTTTGTTTCCAGCTTTGGTTCAATGTATATTGTCCTTCGCTTTATCGTTTAGACAATAGTGAGGCTCAAACAAAGAAAAATTAAAATTGGACTACTGACAATACTTGAAAAAGATGTAATAAAGACCAGTTTCATAGACGACCCCAACTAGACTATTCAGAGTCGGCGATTTTTCCGTGTAGATGTGGTTTCGGTCGCCGAGTATCTTGATTCCTAATGGTTCCGATCCAAAACTGGAAAACTGGAAAGAGTACAAATTTCCTTCCCCAACCCCAGTCCTCACGGGCAAATTGGATTCTTCTCGTATTGAGATGACCATAAGAAATCTTAGCGATAAGGAATAGCTAGAGAACTGAATCGAGCATTTTCACTTACAAAAGCACACAGTGGTCAAATAAGAAGGGAAATAATTAGGATCTCAAAAAATAAATACCAGGATATTTGAAATCCTCAAATCCACGTGATAAAGGCCTCTCTCCCAGCAATTTTCAAAAGCATCCGTTATCTGTTGAACCATTCTGAGCCCGTGCCGAAATGGAATGCCATTCCTGTTCAGAAGATCAAACAGGTCTATGCGCATTCGTGGTAGCAGCACGGTGATCCGCTTGCGTTTATCCAATAGCAACGAAACGGGCTTCAAAACTGTCCACAGGTCGTTTTGAATCCTAAGGATCAAAAGCAAGTATTGAAGATACCGTTAAAAAGTAAACCCCTCCGTTTATAATCCCCTTCAAATGAATCCTAGCCTGAGTCGCAGATGTAATCTAACCCGCCCGGTTAGTGACGTCTGCGAAACAGCGCCGTTATCCTTGTTCTGGGCCCCAACGGACGAATTAGGGGAAATGTGTTTCGAATTTCTCCCTCAAAATGACTGGCAAATCAACAATGGCATTTTTTTTAAAACATACTAATCGTGGTGCGTACTAAAATCCGAGTACACAGGTCGGGGGACCAGAGCAAGGATTTCAGCGTCTGTTTCTCAGACGGACTTGACCAGAAGTTTAGTCTTTCTGTGGCGCAATGCCTCTCAAATTCTAAAAGCAGAATAGAAAAATCTTCCGCAGTATAAGCACCCACCGAATGAAAGCCCGCCCGGGCCTTTGAGAAAGAAGACCCGAAGGCTCATTTTCGGAATTTTACACTATTTTACACCAGCAGGAAATACTGTGAAAGCCCATGTATGTTTGATGTTGGATTAATTGAACAAATCTTCGCGCTCTTTTTTTGAGGGGAGTCACCTCATAATCGGTCTGATTTGCATATAGAGTTCACCCTAGGTGACCTCTTGACTTTTCTGAGTATCCATCCACTTTAGGCTCACTAAGAGTGACCAAGATTAAGAACACAAAAGTTTGATTTCATCCACTGGGTTAACTGTTCACTATATAGAACTGACGTTTTGAGCGCTACTGGGCCTTAGTATAACCAGAATTCTGTCTTTCTCTTTCTCCCTCTCTCCCCCCGCCCCCACTCTCTCTCTCTCTCTTATTGGCGCTACATCACAATCTAAGAAACTAACTTTTTTCCCAAGATGAAGGACTAACTGATTAGTGATTAACTACATGATTCAATGCAATTCTGACCTTCTATAAGAACGTGTCAAGCCAAACAAATACTCTTCTTTCGTTGACTCCTTGTCGCAGGTTAGCTGTTTGGCCACAAGACGCTCGTTGGACTGTACTTCATAGACGTTGCCTCTGTGTCCATTCCTTCCCAGTCGAGTACCCAAGGCTACTCTCTGGGGAACTGGTGATACCAGGGTTTCATAGAGTGCCGCTGTGCTACTCATTAAGCTTGCAAAATGTGGTGCCCTTGCTATCGCAAACGTCTTCTGAACATCAGTCTGCTCGGCTGCAGCCGCGCACATTATTTCCATGTAGTGAAGATTTACTTGAAAAAGTTTGTGACCATTTTCGAGATCATCTGATATTTTACAACATATTCTGTTAGCTATTGCATCGGTATCAACGCTATCTAACACATCCTTAGCGACGCTTCGCTTCCATTCTCGGTCTAGTTTTGTCCTCTTTCCTGTGAAAGCAGACCACACATCGCTTACTACCTTGATGGCTTCATCCCTTATTCTGATTCCTGTTCTCATCAAAGCATAATCAAAATGCTGTATCACGTCTTCTTGATGGAAATGCTGAAGAAAGCTGTATTCAAGCTGTCTCTTTACCAAATTAGCAAGACGGTCATCCTGTTTTACCACTTCGCAGAAAGATTCTTCCAGAGAGGTGCGAATTTTTTTCGTGATTGCAGTTACTGTCTCTCTCACTTTAGTCATGGAAATGTCCATGACTTTAAACAGCACTAGGTCCTTGATTTGTCTTCGACACTGTTCGACAACTTCATTTCGCCGGACAACATCCCCTATTTTAATAGGGTCAAACTGCATGTCACATGCGTCTGTTTCGATTTTGCTTCTTTTCACGTTGATAGCCCTACTGATAATATTGGCAAAATGAGATTTGTTCTTTCCTATGTACGACCGAATTTTCTCTACATACTCTTGCTCCCTAAATTCCAAGAAATGGAACAACTCCCTTTGGACGGGTTTTTGGAAATCGCAAGTAAGAAACAAATCGAAAACTCTGTCTTGGATCTGGGAGAGAAGCTCAGTGGCAGACTTCAAATGCGAATTTACTCCAATGGCAGCAAATCTAAGCAGTTTGGATTTGAGAATTTCAAACTGTTCGGTGAATTGGTTTGTTTCTTTCTTAAGACGAGCACTCCTTACTTCCTTGGACGACAACCCGTGAAAAAACGCACAGTCCTCCCATGCTACGTCTTCAGGAACCATTTGGCACTTTGCTAAAGCTTGATAAACAACATCTTCTTTTCGTTTTTCTTTCCCACTTGGCTTATCGTCTTGTGAGTCGGAATCGCCTTCTGATTCGGAGTCCCGGTCAAATTCTAGTGCTCTTTGGTCTTTCTCTACCTTGTTGCAAACGAAGAATATGGGCAAGTTGCCAACTTTTTCCTTCAAGTTGAGAAGAAAGCCTCTTTCCTTCAGCACAAAGAAAAAAAAAGGATTGCTCAATTCACCAGCCATTTTGTTTTATGTTCATTCCCGTGGGAGAAGAGGTAGTTAGAAAATTTAGGTGGGTGGGTTCTGCTGGGACCCAGGACCAAAAAAAAACATTTAAATTTGTTACCTCATCGCTATCGCAGGTTTAAGAGATAGATTGCATACTCCGTTTCAGACCAGAACTTGAATGAAGAGGACCTGTCGATCAGCGAGTTTTCCTCTCTTTACTACTATAGGGCCTTTTAAACGAGCAAAAATATGACGTGTCTTACATACGACGCAACCTAAATACGCCCCATTCAGTGACTCCATCTCATAGGAAAAAGGTGCAAAATACATAGAAGGTAAAAACTGCCAACCATCACGCAGCAAATACAGACTGTATCCTTGGAGGGTTTATAACAGAGTCCAGGGGCCCGTTTCTCGAAAGTCCCGGTAACTTTACGGGCCCGAAATCAAATATTCAAATCGAAATATAAAGAATAAGAACGCGGGTCCTGGCTAACAAACAACTCCATTTTGTTTCATTAACTGACAGTTTTATCACGTTAGATGCAAAACTATTGAAACCTCGATCTTTAATGTAGACGGAGACAGCTTACCGGGCCCGTTAATTATCGGGACTTTCGAGAAACGGGCTTCAGGCCCCCAGCCGCCCGGCGCTAAGTGAGAACTGTAAAGCGTGACGAAGGAGAGATTAGGGAGCTTAAGCAAAGACGACGGCGACGTCAAAGACAACGTCAAAAAATCAAAAGGTTTAGATTGACAAAACAACAACTTTGCACGTGCATCATGCTTTTTTGTACATTTCTTTGCCGTCGTTGCACGACTTCGACGTGTGGAGGGCGTGAACACTAGACAACGACTTTGTTTTTCGTTTCCCGCACTTCGAGACAGTCTTTAAGGATTCAACTCTAGAAAAGAATTGCAACATTTGACGCACTGAACCAGATGGAATAAGCGCGATAAAGATTGAAGCAGCGCGAATTCACTTTTTAAGGGACGTTTTCGTAACCGTCGCCGTCGTTGTTGCTTAAGCTTCCTAATATGGAGCTGCTGCACTGATGGATCCTGATGCTGATGAGTTGTTTGTTCCCATGATCGCAGTTGCTCTGACAGTTGCCAAAACCCTCTCCCTTGATCGATAAAGAGGATAGATAAGCGGCTAAGCATTAGGTGCGGTCACACTAGCGATTTTACCCATGGGCAAATTTCTGTTGCCCATGGGGAAGCAAATTTTGGTGTGTCACCGATTTCCCCAAGGTGAAATTACCTCGCGGAAATTTCCATGGAGACGGCAAAAAGAACAAAAGAATTACCCATGACAGTTCCCGAGGTAAGTTCTATGGGTGAATTAAAACCCAAAGCGGCTCAACCTTAAGTGAAATGTACCAGGCGGTAGAAATCATGTGTTGTTTACGTGCTGTGTTCGTCTTGGCGCAAAATCCTACGCAAAAACTTGACTAAAAGTTCGAACATTCAACAGGATTTTGAGCACTGTCGTGAATGTTTTTCAGGTTTTTACGTTAAACATATTCAAAAGCATCTTGAAACACTCGCGAGTTTTCTTTGTAAAATCAATGTTCAAGAATTCCTTTCTTAAAGTCGTTGCAACCACTTTGGTAAACCCGTACTTTACTTCTGAGCGAGAATTTAGGCAAGAATTAGCTTTTCTTTTTCTTTCTTTTTTAGTCTCAAAATTAAGGGCTGAATCGCTCGTGTGATCAAGCGTAATTGATGTGGCACTTTTATTAAAAGGGTAAAAATGGTCGAAACCGTTTACGATTTATGTCAGCCTTTCAATGTTTACAACGGCGTTTCCCATGAAACCGAGTCCAAGTTTTTTCTTCCCCTTGGGCAATTTATCGCTGTGTAGCCGCAAACATGACAGTGATCAAAATGCAGAGCGAAGCCAACCCAAGCTATTTCCCCATGTGGAGCCTTAGGGAAGACGACTAGTGTGACCCCACCTACAAAGGCAGGAGGTAAGGTAAGGGTAAAGGCACTCCCGAGCCAAATTCCTAAACAGAACTTATCCCGGTTGCCTTTGAATGAAGCATACCTAGGAGTATTGCTATTCCCCCCCCCCGGACGGGATTCTAGTCAATCGCGGGGTTACCCTCCAGCAGTATGTCGCCGGTGGAAGCGTCTGTGACCTAGCGTTTAACACCGGATTTAGAGGTCCGGGGTTTAAGCCTCGCCCGTCGCGTTTCTTTTTTCTGAGCAAGGAACCTTATTCGACTTTGTCTCTTCAACCAGGTGTAAAATCCCTGGGAGGCTCTCCTTATTTCACGCTAACCTGTAATCTTAAAGATGAGTTGCCATCTATAACATAAATGATGACCTGTAAGACTCCTTGAATGCACTCGTTAACGATTTTGTCCAAAGACTCGTTTTCACTCATTCCGGGTGCATCAATGACTTCCAGATGGCCACTCTGTAGGAGCGGGTTGTTTAGCCCCACTTCTACCACAGAGTTGATCCATGATGGGTCGCCTCTCTTGATCTCGTCCAGCTCAATCGCCTCTTTAGGGAGCTTCTTCTTACTGAAGGGAGTCTTCTGGATTCCTTCCGAAGGTTGAGAGCTATTCAACACCTGAAGTATTAAACGATAAATACAAGGGAGAAAACCCAACGTAAAACAGGCGAACAAAGACAATAAACATATATATAGATTTAGCCAAGGCTAAAAGCGAAGCTCTCGAGGGAACTTTAACGACATGTCTTTCTGAAGTAAAGTTTCTCAGCCTGCGATCATGTGAATGTCATGACTGGTCAGCAGAGAACTAAAACAACACGCCACCTCAGTGAGTTGTACACCTGAGCCCGCAATACAGTCATGTGACATTAGTTAGCGGATAGCCTATGTTTACAGCTGTCAGTTGATCATAACATGGACAGATGGGTCGAATATCAAGTTAAAAATTTTTTACACGCGCTAACGGAGGACGATTACTCAAAACTAAAAATTCTTGGATGCATGGTTAACCATATTGTCTTACCGATGGTGCTCCGCTGCAAGATACAAATACTAATTATAAATTAAGGGTGTTTCTGGGTGTTGCAGAAACTATTGCTCGTTCCCTTTTGTTTTGAGGTCTGGGTGTTCAAAGAAATGGAATAAACGAATTTCAGGCGGCTACTGTACTTTGCTTCAAGAATTCCGTTTATTGTACCTGGTAGTAATTCTCCTCACTGTACTTTAGACGAACTATGCGGGACGTACAGGGAACTTCAGAAGTTGGCATAAACGAACCACCAAGAAGTTCATTCACGAAAGAACTCTTGCCGCTGTTGGTTTGACCCACCACTAACAGAGTGGACTTCTTGGCGGAATACGACGACAGACGCTGTTTTTCTGCGTCAGTAATCAGGTCTGCCTTTATGCTCTCACTAAGTTGCTGCCTCATCAGGTCAATAAAACCTTGTGTCCCCTGCGAGCATTGCTCAAAGAAGGTTATAAGCGACGTCAAGTCCTTGAACTGGTCTTCAAACGAAGACGATGTGTCCAGGCTGGAGACTGCAATGAAAAAAATTCACCCTATTTTACTACCCTTTCAGTTAGATACGAAATGACTGGACTAGAAGACTGAAAAGACGTTTGAATTAACTTGGGAGGGCTTCACCCGAACGCACTCAAAGCTTTGTGATTTAAATCAAAGCTAGAATGGCTTGCCATACAGCGAGCCGATGCAGGTTCTGCAAAGGGCCGAGATGAAGTTTTCAGATACAAACATTATTTCCTGATTGGTAGCCTGAGAAAACAGCTGACATTTCGCGACGCCACCACTGTGTTTTCCCGAGAAATGACGTCTGAGAAACGAGCGAAGAAATTCCATTCTGATGACGCGTCACTCCCAGATCTGGGTAGTGCTACAGATGGGCTGAAAATTAGCTTCAACCAATCAGAAGCACTACCCAGATCTGGTAAGTACTTTTGATTGAATGAAGCAAATTTCCCATGCAGCACGACCAATCAGTGGCACTACACAGTGTCTAGGTAGTGACACGTCATCAGTATGGAATCTCAGACGTGATTTCGCGGAGAAACCAGTGGTGGCTTTGCGAAATGTCGGCTGTTTTCGCAGGCTACCCCATTGGTCTTAACTCTTTAAGCCCTAAGAGTGATTAGCGTCAAATTTCTCCTTGTTATACTACTACATGAGAAATTTCTGCAATTTGATTGGCTTAGAGCAGTGGTATTTCAGCTTAATTTGAAATACCTACATGTGAAAATTACAAACCTTTTTGTGGGTAGTAGTATAAACAATTAAAGAGAATGATTTGTACGTGATATTTGGCATAAATACCACTTATGATATTTCAAAATTGTCTCAAATTTTTTTGTAACAATTTCGAAATATCACTCGTGCTATTTATGCCAAATATCACTACAAATCATGCTATTACCTATACTAATATCAATCCTTTGTAAAACAGAGTGGTCATGAGGATTACTGACATGATCACACTAGATGAATTTGCTTGATATTTTATCAACTTCTCCCCACTACTTTTGTTGGAAATGAATAGGGGCAACAAACGAGAATTCAATTTTTGATCTTAGGGTTTAAAGGGTTAAAGAATGTGGTGGTAGTAAAAATAAAGATGTGGTTAGGCCAGGAGCTACAAACAGAGACATTCAGTCACGAATGTTCTCTCCTTTGCTTCCTTTTGCACGTTATATTCTCCGTTCACTGCAGCTACCCATTCGTCTAAAGTTGTCTTCTCCCACTGCACTATTAGCCTCCAAATTTAACATTTCGATTTGCTTAACTCGGCACTAACTTCAAAGAATGGTGTTCTGGGCACAAAATTTCCTTCAGCAGGGATATCACCCCTAATATTAAAAAAACTTACATGATTATATAATATTAATAACCTGACCAATATTGTAGATTTAAAAATAACGGACAAACTACTCATGTAGAGAGCTTTTTTGCCCTAAAACCCTCACATCTATAGAGATGAGAAACTGTGTTGTAAAACCCACGTTCCTAGAGTGCTTCCTGAATTGCCAGCCTACTAAGTGATCCCTCTTATCCCGTTGTTTGCACAAAGTCTGGGGAAGGATGATATCACAGCTCACAGTAGAGTCCAGGTTTGACTGGGGGGAAACAGCGGAGAATGCCTAGGGATTGCTTTCAAAGCCGAACTCAGCAATGCTACAATAGACACCACACTAAAGTTTTCATTCAAATGTCTTCCTAAGTAAGAGTTAAAGAAGGGCAGCCTTGTCTACAGATCTTACCACAGGGTTACCAGGCTTCCCAGGTTTCCTTCAAGACCAATCAAGTAGAAATCTGAGACATTATTTTGTGTTCAGCCACTGACCAAATAACCAATAAATGACACAATTACACAAATCCTATTGTTTTTCTAAATATGAACCTGAGTACCCTGTGATCCTGAATAAAATCTACCGCAGTTGCTCATTGCACATAGCTTTACTAGTGGGTTTAAATGCTTGGAGAGAAAATAAATTACTTTTATCCTAAGAGAGCCTAACCATTTTGTACATTCAGTGGGATGGCCAGGATTTTTCAAGAGGTACACAAAATTTTCACAATCCACCTGCCAACCTCCCTGGAAAGTCCCAGATGTTGAAACTTTTTCACTTTTTTTTGTTCTTATACATTTGCATAACTGCTGCCCATGAGAGTGAGGGGCCTAACAGGGCTTAACACAGGATACATTTTAAAATAATCATCTTATATTTATTTGCTTTTCTTACCATTCAAATTTTTAAACCAGCCTAGACCTTTTCAGGTATGCACATGCATACCGTGCATACAGGTAGGTATGCCCCTAGGGTTCTCTCATATTAAGATAATATCACATGAGAGATTACAAAGGTTAACCACAAAGGACTTTATAAGGTATTTATATAGATCCTACATTCTTCAGCATATTCGTTTGTGGTCCTTTGCAGTCCTTTGTGGTTAATGTTTGTACTTCATGTATTTGGGGCCGTAGATCTATCATAGATCCTGATATGCTGCAATTTTTGCATGGTTCTGGCCACGTTTTTGAGGTTGGTTTTTCGTCAATCCTTTATTTTTCTTTGCAAGACATCGACTTGACACTTGGACTCCTGCCCTGCAGAAGACACGTGATATGGCGTGATTCTGTGGGTGTTGGGAGTTCTGGGTTAGCAGTAGCAAGGCCCTACCCCAAGGGGGGGGGGGTCCCATGTCGCCCGTCTGAATTTTAAAACACCTTGTGTTGGTGTTTATAAATGCTTGTCGCTTATTGTTGGCTTTGCCGTCACTGTCGCAATTTGGCCGAGGGAGGTTGTCTCTTGTCGCGATTTCATTTTACACACTGTTGCTACTTTTTGGGCCATGTTGCTTGTCGAAATTTACCCTAGCAGGGCCTCAGTAGCAGATCCAGGGAGAGGGTCTGGGGGGTCCAGACATACCCCTATCAGACCTGATGCTTGTTTGAGACTAAAATTCTTACATCGACAGGATCGTATATCACTTTTTAACTGGCTGTTTTTTTCAATGAAATGTGTGTTGCATTTTGCCACTAAACTAAATTCCAGGGATATTAAAACCCTCCAGAAAAGTTCACAGATTGAGAAACTCATAGTCATCTCTGCCTTCTCAGCGACTGGTGGAAGGGGGTGTGGAGGAAAAGTAATTTGGCACAAAAAAGTTGAACAGTCCTTTGCGAACCAAAGTTTGGACCCCCCAATCAAAAATTCCTGGATCCGCCCCTGGTTAGGGCTAAAATCAGAGTGTGTGGATATTTTTCAACAGAGCTTTCTCCGGTTGTTATGCCATACTGATAAGCTACAATAATAGCAAAACACCTGTCTATGGTTATGAGTTCTTTCGGTGTCGTGTTGATGTCTTGTAAAGTAAATTCTCATGTAGTATAGTCAGCATTGCAGTATTCTGCTTGCAGAATTTAAAATGTCTATGGGAGATTAGGCATGTTTTCCAAGAATATATGGTAAAATAATCAACAATTGCACAACAATTGTCCAGTGCTAGGAATAATTATTATTATTCATTCAAAATATTTCTCTGTTTCTGATTGGTTAAAACCACACGCATAATTCACCATAACCAAAGACTGTTGACCAAAATGACATCAAATAAGTGCAGCCGGGTTGCAGGTCATTGAAGCATTAACTGAGAAAACCTGGGGACGAGGTTCAGTTGTTGTGATCAAGTGAGAACAAAATGGCTGAACAGTCAGCGGAATTTATTCATTTCACAGCAAAATATCGTCTATAAACAAGGCAGGAATTCTTCATATCCTACTCACCCTCATTCAATAATATTGCTAAAAGTTTAGAGTACATAGTCTGGGACAGGGTAACGATTTGGTTGTTCATAGTCTGGAATAGGGTTGCAAAATGCAGCTGAATATATAAGTAACAATGTAGGCTGGACTAGCATACTGATATACTAGTGGAAGCCTAATATATAACAAACCTCTTTAAAACGAAGTCCTAAAATAAAAGACAATGTTCTTTTCCCCATTAATAGTGAAATATACAGAAAATATCCTCCTTTGAGCAAACATACTTTGCCAGTCCCTTCAGGGGCACCCAACAACCGTTTTCGGGGAAATATCTGTTCGGAGCCCTCTAGAATGGCTAAAATTTTCGGGAGCCCAAGAACAGCTAAAAATTTCAAAAATGTTTCGTGGTGACTGTTTGTTGGGCTCAGAGTTTCGGGATTTGTGTGGTTTGTTCACCTAAGAATTTTGGATTTTGTAGTAATCTCTAGATCACCTAGAAATTTCGTAGCTTTCGTAGTAATCTCTACATTCTGATTTCAGCACCTACAAATTTCGTAGCTTTCGTAAACTAAGAATAGAGCTTAAACCCGGCAGTCTCATTTGCGAAATTTTCACACAACTGATTTAAAACCCAACGACCCTTTTCTGGGCTTACCGGTTACGCGTACTCAGGACAGTATCGCAGCAGGACTACCAGAGGGAGGGATCGGTGGGATAACCCAGACAACGCTATTGTAGCACTGTTCTCGGCTGCGCATGTATCTGATCTACCGAATTTTAATAAAGTCACATTTCTGACATTTGCAGTTACAGTCAACTGTGTAGGTAAATAGGCAACTTTCAGCGTTTCAGTGAACTTTAGCCAGCGAAAACAGACATTTTTTTCTTTGCTCGCTCATCGCCACCTGGGGGGTGTGTGGGGAGGGAGATGGGGGCGAGGAGCGAGGACAAACTACTGCTGGCAACTTTAATTTTTGGTTGTTCGGTGACCGTAATGTGCAGGGTGATGAGTGGGTGATACAGACCCGTTATCTGCGTTGCATACAGGCTTTCTGGGGCTAGATTGGGGATAATATATTCAGCTGGCAGCTGTGCTGTATATTCTGTATATTGACCAAGACGAAGTCACGGGTCGGTGCACGGTCCTGCTGATTCCCTGAGCTGATTGTCGACAACCAAAAACTCACTCGGATGTCAAAATCCAGCTCACCGGAGTAATCAGCTTGTTAACAGCAGCTGATCTTTACTATCCCATCCTGTGTTCTGCCTGTCTGTCTGCGTTTTAATCAGTCAGTGCCATGCCGTATTTCAGATTTTTCCGCAAGCGCCATGCGAATTGAGTTCGGCAGGTACAAGACGTTTCAACTGGCTTTAAAATCACTTAAATGCCTTTTGTTTTACACCTAGAATTTTCTATACATTCATTAGACGTTTCAACTGGCTTTAAAATCACTTAAATGCCTTTTCTTTTACACCTAGAATTTTCTATACATTCTACGTCGCCCTAGAAAATTCGGAGACATTCTCAGACTACATAGAGTTTTCGGAGAAAACTTGAAAGGACCCCTAAAAATTTCGGTCAAGGGAAAAGCTCGTCAGGTAATCTTACGTTTTCGGAAAGCTTTCACTGTAGGCTAATATTTTCGGGAAAGGCGAAAAACAGCCCTAAAAAATTCGAGAGGTTCAAACCACTCCTAGGACGACCGAACAGATCAAACTTTTTTAGTGATGCGAATTATTCATTTATATTGCTTTTAAAGCACTCCAGGATGCATAACGAGCCATTTCAGATCATTTCCCAGAAAACGGTCGTTGGGTGTCCCTGTCCCTTGGCCCTGCATTATATTGAGGTTTCACTGTAGACTAGACTCAGGCTAATGTTGGCATGGTTACAGGGTCCCTATGGCACACACCCACCTAAAATTTCAGTGATTGACTCTAGAACCAATTAGCCTTGCCCAGTGTTCAGCATTTATACGCACAATAATGCATTCCAATGAAAAGGAGGGTACGCTCTACATTAATGCACAATTAACTTACAGCATGTAAATACATTATTTACTGTGACACCATACAGTATTTAAACATGAATCATAGTTCAATATTCTACCATTAAAAACCATTTGTAGTAAATACTTGTTATGCGATCAGAATAAATAAGTTTCGTAACCGTATTCCAAAAAGAAATTGAATGACCATAATTTAGTCCACGCAAGGTTCCAACTGACAAGCCGATAGAAAGCATGTTAGAAAAGTTTTAGTGTTTCCGCAAGTTATTTGTTGAAGTAACACTTAATCCTCACAGACAAGACAATCTACGCGAAGCAACAGGTTACTTAGGAACATTTTTCATAACAATGGCGTCTCTTTCTATCCGACGCCATTAAATTAGTATTTCGTTGGTAAAAAACAAAACAGAAAACCTGCAATAACTACTCAAAAACCATTTTACGAAATAGACAACCCGATATATTGCTAAAAAACATACGGAAGGCGCGATGCTGTGACTATTCTAAGAAAAAGGCTATTTGCAATACAACATCTTAGATATTTATAAGTCTAGATCGATCGCGCACGGAAGTGGAACCCACCTTCTTGAAAATCTTGCGCCATGTTGATCAAACCTTGACAAGTGTTGGAAGCAATCTGCCCAGAAATATTTCCTACCGTAGCTTGAGGGGATTATTGTGCATACGAGTCTTCGAAGCACGTTTCCATACACAGTTTTTGACTAGTAATGTCGATTCCCGGAAAAATGAAACCGAAAACCAATGTTGCGTGACCGACAGAGAAAAACTGCAGACCTATCGTGGGCTCGTCACGCAATTAAATCCGCCAAGATCGCTTGAAAGCAATATCAAGGTGTTTATAGTTTCAAAAGAATCTGTGACCGAGTGAAACTGGAAAATAGGCTTTATCAACTGAGTTGACACTGTTAATCAGCCACCGCAAAAATATTTGAAAGCTAACGTTTCGAACACTAGCCCCTTCCCGAGAACAATGGAGCTTACTAACATAGATTTCAATCTTCCGGCATTAACAGTAAATTAATTATTTATCAGTATTTTCTAACATAAAATATCACATACCCCCCTTGAAAACCATGTTGATGGCTCTATTTATCGTTGAAGAAGTATTGTCGAATAATATGGAACACTAGCTAACACCGCCCTCGACCTACGACCGGTCGAGACATCATTTTTAAGGAAGTAGAACGAGCTAGCTTAATGTTAGGTAAATTACAGCATTGTCGCACATCCTTAAATGACTATTATAAAAAATGAACGATAAATGAATAAATGAATAAGATAAAATGCCCAATGTTCGCGCAAGAAACAGACCCAGTTTCCTGTGGTCTCCATTCAAGAGTCCATCCACTAGTACAGCATTTCCTTGAAGTGCAGCATGCCTGAATGAATCATCCTCTGTTTCGGGGAATCGAAAGGGCTTATGCAAATAACTTCCGCTAATGTTTAAGATCAGAAGCGTCCTTCTCATTTTCGCTTTTCGTCATGCCGCTTAAAGATGTTTTCGAAGATTTCAAAGAAAGCAAGGCCACTATACAAAAAATACACCACGATACAATAAAGTATTTTAATCAACTCGTTGAAAAGCTGTCTGGACCGCGCGATGCAGAATTAAAAGTGGAGTTAACTCAAGCGACGTCTCCACCAAACTCGCCCGGAACTGGATCAGGAGATGTAGCGGAAGCAACAGCTTCAATCAGCGATGTTCACTTTTCTTCATCTCCAACGGTGGCACTCGGCGACATCCAATGCGATTTCGACAACGCTCTGGCTGAACTATTGTACACCACCAAGGAAAGAAAGGAAGTAGAGTCGCTTTTCACCGAAGAGCCAGCTCTGATTTTTGTCGGTCAGACAAACTGCGGTAAGAGCTCCATCATCAACGAGCTCCTGGGATGCAAGTCACTTCCTACCTCGGAACAACCGAGCACCGCAAGGATTGTACGAGTCCGCTACGCCAAGGAACCATTCTGTCGTCTCACTACCAAGGATGGAGAAATATTAGAGGTATGGTTCATATTTATAAACACACCCTAATACACAAAACATTTAACAAGTTAACAAGTTTTGTTATCGCTTCTCTTCAAAATGTGTTAACTTTTTTAAATATATTTTAGTGGGTAATCTCAAGTGTACCTCCCCCCCGCCCCCCGCCTACCTTGGGATTGAAAGGGGGGGGGGGGGGGTGAGATATATTTGGAAAGTTCCTGTTCTGGAGGTATACTTGGGCGAGAAAAAACAAATTAAAATAACTTCTCGTCATTCTTGTGAAGCACGCCATGATTTCGCCAGACCAAATGGAGAAGACTCCCAAGACTGTTAATTTTTAAGGATTTATTTGTAGCAGACTGGTTAGAGAAGAATAGCCTCTCAGTATTGAATCTATATTCGAAAATCCCCCACCCACCCTCCCCCGACGAACGCCAAGGAACGCGTGACGAAGGGGAGAGGAACTCGTGACGAAAGAAGGAAAGCGTGACGAAGCTCTTAAGGATTTATTTGTAGCAGACTGGTTATAGAAAAATAGCCTCTCAGTATTGAATCTATAGTCGAAAATCCCCCACCCACCCTCCCCCGACGAACGCCAAGGAACGCGTGACGAAGGGGAGAGGAACTCGTGACGAAAGAAGGAAAGCGTGACGAAGCTCTAAGAATGTCTTCAGTGGAAGAATGGTTGTCTCCATGGAGGTAGTTTATCTTTATAGTTCTATTTTGCAGCACATAAAACTGAAAGGCAAGAACAAAATTCCACGGAAGAAGATCGAGCTGAGCAGGAAGGACCGGGGGGACTCATCCAAGGTAGAGGGTATCATCGAGACTGGGCTGAACATTGAGTTCTTAGAGTCCGGTGTCAGTGTAATTGACTCCCCTGGAAGGAACGAAAATGAAGCTCTGGATAATCTTGTCAAAGAGAAACTGGAAAACCCGCTGGCTTTTGTGATTTACGTGGTCGATGGACATAACTTGTTTACGAAGCAGGTAGGAAGTCATGACGTTGTATAGAACTTGTGACATGTGACTGACACGCATGTCGTTAGCCTGCACCACAGACTAAACATCTGGCAGGGTTGCGTTGTTCGAAGCAGGGGTAAGATAACCCAGGGTTAGTGCAAAATTTCAATCAATTCAGATCTGAAAGCTTAAAAAGCAAATTCAGTTTTATTCTTTTTATCCACAATTTGATGATTTGATGGTCTAAAAAGAATCGAGAACATTATCCTGAAAAATGCTCTTGAACAAAAGAAATAGAAACCTGGGTTAAAATTTAACCCAGCGTTAGCGCTAATCACTGGAAAACAGCACCGAAGACCTTGTTCTAGGCGCTCACCTGTGTACCAGGATTTGAGCATGCGTTATGATTGGTCTGTTAAAAAAGCCAGTGTCGATTTTGGAATTAGGTTGAAGAGAAATTCGAAACACATTTCAAGTAATTCGTTGTCTCCGGGGAACCAGAACAAGGATATCGGCGCTGATTCGAAGACGTAAGTAACCGGGATTAAATTACGACTGCGGCACAGCATGGCACAGGCTAGCATATCGTTGACAAATTGAAAAAGTTTTGTTTTTAGGGTGCGGACTGCTCTTACCTCTACCGTTTCCTCGAAGAAAGACAAATTGATGTATCTCCACTGAAACCATAGCCTGTGCCACCGACGAAACTAACTCCGGTTAAGTCCGTCTGCGAAACAGCGCCGAAATACTTGTCTGGGCCCCCAACTGTGTACCAGTAGGCGCCATGATTGGCCTGTTTAATGCCATTGTTGATTTGCCAATCAAGATAAAAGGAATTTCGAAACGCGCTTCCGGTAATTCATCGAGTCCGTTGAGGGCCACCAGAACAAGGATCTTAAGGGGTTTATAAGGCCTGGGTCAAAGATGTGTCTTGAGCATATGAATAATTGGCAATATCTCTCGCTAGGAGACCTAGAACAAAATGAGCTTTTCTCCAAAAGTAAATCTGGAGGTTTTCTTGTGCTTTAGCCTTTAGTTAAGAAAATTGGTGGCGAATTTACTTTGTTTCGAAAAACAAATTGGTATTTCTGAAAGAGGATAAACATACCTAACTTTCTACGTTTGGAATGAATGTACGCGAAGTTTAAAATTAAAGTTTTAAATAATTCAAGGTTAAATTTGGACATTTAAAATGATGTTTTCCCTCATAATTTTTTATTAAAGTGCAATGGACGGTCATTGGAAACGTTAAGTGTTAGGAATATTTAATATGAATTAGAAAAATGTTTTTTCCCGATTTCTTTCCTTAAAACCGGCCACCAATTGGTCAATAATTTACGATTTTTAGCAAAATCGTCACGTGACATATCACGTGACTAATTAACGCAATGTTTATAGTTGAGAATGTTAAGGACGATGAGTTCTTTATGTGTGTCAAATTTTGATTCAGCGCCATCATCTATGCCAAAGTTATAGCCAATAATTCATTTTCCACAAATAAACGCATTAGTCCCACGCCTTAAACTACTTGAGATATCGGCGTTGCTTCGCAGATGTTACTTACCGAGGTTAATGAAATTACGTCTGCGATGAGGGCTACTGAACTGGCATTAGTCAGAGTAAAATGTTGTTATCAGAACTTGATAACTTAGATTCATTTTTAGACTGATTATGCGCATAGACCATAGATTTTGTTTAGTTAGCCATTCACCACCCACTGACACAATCCGCACTCATTCACTCACTATACTCATTACATTCCATGTTAACTCGCAATGAAATCTTTAGCTATTTTCTTAGGGATTCCAAGGGCAAGCTACAATTGTAGCTACTCCACCGCCCTCGTACCAATTACGTCAAAAGCGGATTTAGTTATAGACGTTCTCTGTTGTGGAATAGTTTATCTGTGGAACTGTGCCAAGAGCGAACTCTTTCCTCCTCTGAAATCCGGCTGTAGTAATTTCTATTAGAAATAGACGATAACCATTTTGCACGGCATTCATGGAAAGTAGGCACCTTGCATTTTTATTATTAACATTACCACTGTTAGTCTCGTTTGAAGAAGTAGAACGCTAGATCACGGAGGGTCGTCGGTTCGAATCTATACTTGGGCTGGGATTTTTTTCCGAGTTTCATTTGATGCAAAAAATGAATTATTAACCATTGTTACTACTGTTCTTAGAATTGTTATTAGCTTTAATTTAATAAGTTTATACTTTAGCCTTTGTCACTTAATGATTATTTTACTGTAGAAAAATTAAGTTATTCAATACAATACAATTTAATTCAATACAATGCAATAAAATACAGTACAATACAATACAATACAATACAATACCCACACTCACTCACTTACTTACGTACTCTTTTACTTCCATCACTCACTCAATCACTCACTCACTAAGCTACTTAGTTAGTTACTTACCTACCTACTTTCTGTTTTACGTACTTAATTGCTAAGACGTCGTGTTTCATTTGTAGGACAGGGAAGTGTTAAGTGACATGACATCTAGAAGACCTGATTTGCAAATTTTCTTTGTGGTGAGTAAGCTGGAGCCTGAAGATCGTGCAGAGTCTTCAGACGAGGACGAAGAGCCAGGTCACAGTGCTTCTGCACGCCGTTTAGAACAAGAAGCCAAAGCACGGGAAAGAAAAAAAGCACGTGTGTACCAGCGCCTTGTTCAGCACGGCTATTTCTCAGAAGAGAGTAGCCCGATAAGGTGTATGAATGAAAACGACCGATTCCACGGTCTCTCTGCCTGGAGGCTTCAGAGGTACCATGAGATGAAGAAAAATAACCCAAACGCGCCAACCGGTGAGTTTAAAGGATACATCGACGCCTTCGAAAGGTTTCAAAACAGCCTGAAGAGGTTTGCAGAGGAGTCGTTGCATGAAAGAGTTGAGAAGGTATGCCAAGTTCTTATCCGTGTCCTGTCAAGGTGTTTGGACTTTTTCATCCAGAAGGCCAATTTGCTGAAAAAGGGACAGAAGTTGATGATGAAGACCCTAGACACTCTCCTTAAAGAGGAACAGGAAGTCCACAACAACATCACAGAGAGTCTGGAGAAGGAATCTAGTGAAATTAAGGAGTTGTTATCTGAAGTTTTCAATGACGCTCGAGAGGGAATTCTTCAGGAAGCAGAAAAATTTGAGTACGCTCTGACGGAATTCCAAATTCCACGTGATGGTGTTGTCTCTGAGAAAGCCGCCGTTGCACACTGTAAAGACCAGCTACAAAGAATGGTGGCCAACAAGCTACAAGGGGAAATCAAAGAAAAGTTAAACATGATGTTTCGCTCAAGAGACGTGTTCGTGGCCCAAATTAAAGAACGCATCGAAGGAATTGAAGAAGAGATAGCCTCAGGAGAACAATTCCCATCAGCAGCTCTAGCCTTAGGTAGAAGTCTTCTGTCTTCGTATGAAGCTGGGATCTCCTTTACAAAAGGAGGTGGAGGGGTGGCTCGATTTATTAAATTACTTGGCACATGGATGTATGACTTTATGTGTTCACCAGTTGAGACCATCTTAAGCACCGTAAAGGGCAGGGTCCGCGTAGGATCCCCTGACTGGAAGAAGGATGTTGCTGCTGGCGTTCTCGAGAAAGTGGATCCAACCAAGATGTCTGAGGAAATCATCAAGAGCTTAAACCAACACTTTACGACGTGCCATGATGAGTTTGTTGCAGAAATCAGGAAAGTTCAAGACCTTTTTCAACGGGGAGAGACCATCAAAGACGAACAGAGGGAAAAGATTCTCGAATTTGCTCCAAACCTTGCCCTATTAGAGATGCTGGCATATGGTGTCATGGATAAGTTCAAGTTTGGTTCACCCAGTACCGGTGATCTCATTGGAGATGGTGCGCAAGGAAGTGTGTTCGCTTGCAATAATATAAAGACACCTGAGGGAAAGCCTTGTGTAGTAAAGGTGGTAAAAGTTGCTAGAGAAGAAGTACTTAAGGATTTGACCCTGGAATTGCACAACACCAGGTAAGACAAATTTGATCATATCTTTTAATGTTAAAATGCGCAATAAAAGCAATAAATATTATTACGCTTTTCAGCACACGCTGTGTGCGTCTAAATGGCGCGGACCTCATCTTTCCTCATCGATCTTTTCTCTGTATTTTCTGGTTGGAGGCCACTTTAGCTGTCTCCACAAAAAAAAATTTCAGGGACTTTCTCTTTGCAGGTAACTGATATCAACTTTTTGCCTCGCATTTGAGTTCACTTCGTCTTTATGTCATGGGCATTATAATTTTCCTCATTTTTTCCGTCCACGCGCTGTATCAGTGAGAAAAACTACGTAAGATTCTCCTGATGATAAAAGAAGTGAAAGCTACCCAAGATGACGTTGTGCTTTTTAGATACGCCTGTCTTGAAACACCTCTGATTAATTCGCAGGTCTTTGCGACATCAGAACATTCTGCCCATAATTTGCAGCATCGCGGAAGGCAATCCAGCACGTGGATTTTCTGTATCAATTGTCTCGGAACGAATGATGTGTGATCTCCAAGTAGGTCTGCCCACCATCTCATCTTTGAGGGATAGACTTCAAATTGCTCTTGACGTCGCCAAAGCCTTACAGTACCTGCACGCAGAAGACATGATCCATCGAGATGTCAAAGTGCAGAATGTTTTGGTGAGTGGAGCAATAAAATATTTAAAAAAGCAGATACAGTAAAATTATATACCACTCTGAGATTTCCTGTAATGACCGAATTGACGTGGTTAATAAACTATTTAGTGTATGTCCTGTTTGGTGCTATTCTTAAGAAGAATACAAATAAAAAACTCGTTCTCGCTGCGGCTCTCTCCGTCGCTCAAAGAAGTATCGGTATACACGTATTTTTCTTTCAGTTTATGAAAGGAGAGTTATATTTTTTGTCGGTATTTTTTGTTGTTTTCGCCCTCGCGCTCGTAGCTTTTACTCACAACTCATAACAGCCGCCGAGCCGGGAAAAAATTGTCATAATGCCCGGTTATTACAAGAAAATCTTGCCCGCTCAGCAGCCTATCCGAAGCGCGCGTACTATTGTACGTAGCCATATAAAGAAAGTGGAATAATTCAGTGTTGTTGGACTAACCACCTGTTCATTTTGCTCTTTTTTCAGTTGGATAATTCCAACAGGGCAAAGTTGACAGACATGGGCCTTTGCAAGCCGGAAGGTCTCGCTTCTAACTCGCTTGTAGGGACACCTATAAATATGGCACCAGAGATGATCAAACAACAGTACGACAAAACCGTCGACGTTTATGCGTTCGGCATGTTGTTATGGAGAGTGTGCGAGGGGAAAGGCAACCAACCGAAAAACGTGCACAAACATTTTCTCCCTTTGGTGATGCTCATGTTAAACGCCGTCGACAACAAGACGCCGGAGAGGCTGGATACTTTTCCTCAGAATTGTTGGGAACTTATGGAGCGTTGCTGGGCAAGTGATCCCGAAAAACGTCCCTCGATGGATGCCGTTGTAAAAGACCTAGAAGAGATCCTTCGAGATCTGAATTGAAGATCTAAAAAACAGATTCAGTCTTTGTTGGGGTTTCGTCCTTTTCAGAATAATCTCCAGTTACACTACCAATCTCTCCACGGACTCAAAAAAAGGCCGGTTGTTTACACAGAGTTCAGCAGTTCAGCATGTTCAGCGTCATTGTCGATTCAGTATCCACCCTAACATCGTAGCATAAAAAACTTCAACCATTACCAAATTGGCTGATTTACTGGAGCTGAAGAAAAACTATCTACTTCAAATATCTCATAAACAAATGCACTTCTTCACGGTTAAAGTTAACCTCGTTCCCACCCAACTAAAATGGTCCTGAGAACAGAAATTACAGAAATTACAGCTTCTGTGCCAACGACTTTCTCGATTACAAATGTTCGTCTATAAGGCTCTTTAGAGCAAAGGATTGTTTTACTTAAGATCGATCGTTTTAGTTTTGATCAAGAATGACAAGAACGCAAGTGTGAGTGGATTTAGTCAAAGCTTAAATTCCTAAGCCATGTTTTGTGGCTCTTAATTAAAGTAAACTGTAATGTAAAAAGTGCAAGAGAAAAAGGGGAAAATTACCACTTCTAACCACAGTTTTGCTGTATAAGTAGTTTAAACAGATTTCGAAACTGAGAGTGCAGTTGAGAGTGCAGTGCAGTGCAGTGAGAGTGCAGTGCAGTAGGGAAATCGACCTAAATCAGTGTACGGAATCTTGCGTTTCATGCATTCATATATGACAGCTATTGTATGGATTATGTGTGAAAATCATCAATGTATGAATCGGTAAATTTCAAAGATCTTCATAAGACTAAAGATACAATTAACTGACACACAACACACAGAGTGGGGACAGCTGTATTGTTAACTATTAGCGAACAATTCTTGCAAGGAGCACAACGAAACTAGTGAAACCATGAATCGAATGAAACCACGAAACCCATGAAACCATGACACTCATGAAAACACGAAACCAATGAAACCTACGAAACTACGAGACCCATGAAACCATAAATCCCATGAAACCACGAAACGTATAAAACCACGAGATCCATGAAACCACGAAACTCATGAACCCAAGAAACCCCATGAAACCATGACACTCGTGAAACCAAGAAACCAATGTAATCATGAAACTTATGAAACTACGAAACCTATGAGACCATAAATCCCATGAAACCCCCAAACCTATAAAACCATGAAAACCCATAAAACCACTGAGATTCACGAAAGGCATTCATCCATGAAACCTATGAAACGAAACCCATGAAACTGCGAAACCCTTGAAACCATGACACTCATGAAAACACGAAACCAATGAAAGCGCATGAAACCTATGACACTACGAAACCCACCAAACCACGAAACTCATAAAACCACTAACCCTATACCACAGACATTCATAAAACCACGTAACTCATGAAACCATGAATCCTATGAAACCACGAAACCCATAAAAACATGAAACCCATGAAACCACGAAACCTGAAATGGCGGTAGGATGATTAAAGTGGTTTTTATTTCTGGCCTTTTCTGTTGAGCGTATGTGCTCTCCAGATCTGTCACCGAGCTGTCGTTTTGTATTACATTCATGATATTTTAGGTTTTTTTTGGTTTTGTAATTTTTTTTTTGCCTAATTCTTGTAATTAAGGCTGTTCTGGGGAGTCGGGCCCGTCAGGGGGAGTTCGGGGCCTGTTCCTGGTTCTACAGACATCCGTCACTTGTGGTCACTCTTGTGTACGTACTTTTAGACACTCATGTCAGCGATGAGATGAAGACCTGTGCATGGAGCCTTTCATTGAAAGAACATCCGCTCTTACCTCAGGCAAGTTAAGGCATGGGTTGAAAGGCTAAAAATACCACCCCCCCCACAGAGAATGCAAAGATCTTTTTAACGACGCAGAAGGATCCAAATAAAGGGTTCCACAAAGATATGATATGTCTCACTAAAATAGTTTTGGAAAATTCATCCCAAGCATCACGTGACATTCCTTGGTCCATGACGTCAAAAAAGCTGTTTTCTCAAACGGGGCAAGGCTGTTAAACTTCAGGCTAAAAATACTCGTCATCAAATTGTCAACCAAACTGTCTGGATTGTCAATTAGCCTTGCAGGGTGGATTAAAACATTTTTTTTTGTAAGTTATTAAAGTCTTTTATAAGCCACGTGACCTGTTTTTCTTTGTTTCGTAATCCTTGCTCCACTTAGGCATATGGTGCTATTTCATATTAGTATGGGTGACCCTCCACAGGAATTTGATGCTAAAGGTGAAAGCACGCTCACGACACGCTTAGCGTGTCGTAGATCACGGATATGCGAATAAAGATGGACACACTTGGCTTTGTTTTGGTAAATTTAACATGCAAGACCTATTTTTTTTTTTATTAGCGTGCCATATGTCACGCAAGTGTGCGAATTATAGCGCGCTCAGCGTGCAATTTGGGTAAGGCACGCTGAACACGCTTGCCCTGCGTGAAATAAGTTTACTAATTTAGTGGACTTTACAGGACCACGATACCCCATGGCACTTAGCAAATCGTATACCGACACGCGAGCTGTCATGGGACGCGGCGTTTCAGAGAGTGTCCGTGTCCCCGATACTTCTGCCGTGAAAAATCAGGGCAAATCGTGGCCGGCGGACATGTCTTCTGCGGTGCGTCAAGAAATATACGAGATCTGATTATTATCAGTTAGCCAAAACTATGTCGACTTTCGACAGTGAGGTAAAATGGCATGAAAACTTAAATTTAGGAAAAATTAAACTTTACCTAATAAAAACACAACTAACTCATGTACGCAAACTTTCCAAGGTACGCCGAGGTTGATAAAGATTTACGCAATTGGTTGAATGAAGGTAACATAAGGTTGCAACAACTTTACGCTCATCCTTTTACGCCAGATATGAAAGTTTATTTATTTATTTATTTATTTTTTATTTTCAATTACAAAGCACTTACTTACAATACTTACTTACAAACAATGTATGGTACTTACGCTACTAACAAAACTATACTCTACTTACAAAACAATACTTATTTACAATGTGAGATACTTACGCTACTAACAATACTATACTCTATGACAATATAAAATTTGCAATACTTACTTACAATGAGATACTTACACTACTAACAGAGCTATACTCCACGCTTTACATATATACATACAAAAAAAAAAACAAAAAAAAAACAGCAACTTGCACTACTTACATTACGGATTACATACGCTACAAAAACCAGAAAATAAAGGGGTCGGGGAAGTATGGTAAATTTTAGTTAACTGTAATTCTAACTCAAAGGAGAAAAAAGAGATTAAAGATATTTTCTCCGCTGATTCACTGAAATTTAGCTTTATATACTTTGAAAGTTAAAGCAAGAAAGTTGAGTAACTATAAGGTTACTCATACATTGCAACTCTGGTAGCAGGATCTGTCTTCTTTGTTGTTTTTAGCGTGACCGAAGTAGTTTTCACGCCGGCCCGCTAACAATGAGAGTCGTTGGCTTGTTGTTTTTGGATATCGTGCAATTCTGTTCGGGTGACTGGAAGGCATTGTTAACATAAATGGCCTATCACAACCAGTTAAACGAAAACAAAGTCAAAACAGAGAGAACATGCATGATAACGGAGTATTGACTAACTTTCTTTAAATACTACATTGTTTTTTCAACTGCCTTATCGCTTCCCGGTTATGGCTTCTGTTAGGAGAAGAAAAAAGAAGAAAACCTGGGGGTGGTCCCTGGGGGTTGTACGTTCGAATGAGGACTGGAAATGAAAAAATACAGCAAAGCAACTGGTCAGCGGGTATTCGCTTTGCACATGCTCTAGATTGTAACACATTATGACATGAAGTACTTCCCCACATTATGATCGAACGTTCGACCGTCAGTTATCGATCTATCTTGAGAGGCAACCCTTTCGATACAGGAGAGACTGAGATAGAATTTGAACACCGAAGTATACTAAGGACTGTACTACTAAAGCGCTCCAACACTCAGGATTTTGCTGGAAAATTAGAAAGCAAGAAAAGGTAAGCTTTCCTGTTTTCAAACTATTTAAATCATTTTAAGTTTCCAATGAAATCAATGTTTTATAAAAGGAACTGAGGCACGAAATTTATCAAAATTTAAACAGATGAAACCGCCACCATATTGACTGAAACATAAAAATAACCACTCACAACAGCTGAAGAAGCTAGAAACAAGATAGCAAACACAAAAAGGGGCTCAGATAGACAAACTTGAAGAAGATTAAATGGATTAACAATTACTGGTTTGCACTTGGCGTTACAGCAGCCATACAGTACAGCTCAGAGATAAGCGTCCACGTTAACGCACTTCAAACTAGTTAGCGAGAAGTTCGTTAGCGCTTGTCCGTTTACCTAACGCGCTTCAAAAACGGGCTTGCATTAGAACTGATTACTATGCATGAGCTAGCGTATTGTTCTTGGGTTATTGTTGTTGCAACAGCCACAACAAAAGGCTTAACAACGTCCACAAGACTTGGTGAAGACTGAAACAGGGTTTCGATTCTACACAGTAATCGACTGCTTGATTTCACTATACGTAGTAGAACGAAAGACGAACAAACACAAAATTACTTGAAGACTAATTTTATCAGTAATCTTCTATCTTCTCTCACATCACAAAAAACTTTCTACTCTATAAAGTAATAAAATCTACTCAGCGTTTAATTCTTGCAAGAAATTCCTGAACTATGCAAATTCAAGATACAGTAACAGTTGACAACTCTTCAGGAAATTTGCATTGATTCGCACGGCTCTGATAATACTCTGCATTGAAACGTTAATAGCAATGTTCAAACGGCATTTTGCATCATTGAAATAGCAGAAGTCGTTAGTTCACTAGCTGAACTTGAAAACAATCCATGTCTTTATATCTGTCAAATCCACAATAAAAGGAAGTTTGTGTAAATAAATGTTCGATCAACAGTGTGTAAACAAAGTCTCAAGTCGCTTCTCATTGCCTTTGTTCTTACTGCTTGTCTTTCGAGTTCAACTTGCCGACATTTTTTTTTTTCGATTGCCCGTTTGTGAATGTCCATCGGCATTATCGCAGTTGAATTTCTGGTCATCGGTGTCTACAGTCAGGGTGTTGTTTCACTGAAAACATTGCTTGTACCTGAATTGCTGTTTCGCGATTCGCGATAGCTTCTCAGTCTGCAACCTCGTTCCCAGGGTTCTCTCCTACCCGCCCTATGAAGCAAGAGAGGGAGAGACCCTGGAAAATGTTGGTCACGTGGCTCCAGAACAAAATTAATTCTGAGGGAGGAGTTCTTTGTCTCACATTCTTTTGTCTGGTTTATTTGCGACGTTCATGCAGTGATCGCAACAGCAAGATAGGTTTGCTAACCCTACTACAACTATAACTAAAACTAAAGGAAATTTCTGCCTAAACAAAACTATCAGATAAACAAGTGAATTACTAGAGAAGGAATCAAAAACTAGCGTTGTCGCTGGTTTAACCAATGACACCAATCGCTAAAAATCTACGATCTTGAGTTATACACAAGCGAGTTAATTTTTTTGAAGGTAAAATCCCTGTATGTTGAACTTCTATCTCAAAAGTTTCAATGTTTGCCTGACAGCGGCTGGTAATTGGGCCAAATAAACCTACACCATTTGCGATCTTAGCGGTTCGGCGTGACAAAACCCCAGGACAAAACATGGCAGTTACATTGAGAGCATATTCTTGGTCCTTTATTTTTTATCTTGTACGTTAATGATTTGAACAACGCTTCCGTACTTGATGCAATTTTGTTTGCTGATGA